TAGATCAACTGCTGCTCTTCACAACATTTATGGGCATTTAATCAACATGACCAGAACCAGTCATCAATTCAACAACTCGTTCCCCCAGAACACTGAGGTCATCTTTTCTTTGTAAAAGAAAAACAATAAGAGTCAGATTGATAGATTTTTGCTAGGTCAGGGATATGGAGCAAAAGCAAAAAATTGGAATTGACAGGATTAGTTGAGGTACAGATTAGCCATGATCTAATTAAATGGTAGAACAGGCTCGAAGGGCTGATTGGCCTACTCCTGTTTCTATGTTTCTGGATGCCATCAATCTTTCAAAAGCAAATTACAACAACAATAACTTGCACTTACATAGCACTATACATTTTGGGAGGAAGAATAAGGATAGGTGGGAAGGAAGGTGTGCAAAGGGGTCAAAAAAAAGTCAGTTACAGGGGTATGAGGAAAGGGCAGGTAAGTCAGACTGGAAGAATTGCTATTGAGGGAGCAGGCACAGACATGCCAAATAGCCTTCTTCTGTGTTGTAAATTTCTATGGTTCGTACTGTTCCTTTCTCCTATGCTTCTTAGGTCAACATGACACTGCTGTAACTTTATAATCTGCAGCTGGATCTCAAAGGAAAATGTCACTCTAAATTATTAACAGCAGGTTTGTAAACAAGAGTCTCACAGCAAAGTACTGATTGTTCCAACTTGCCAATTGTATAGTGCAACTATTTTATCTGAACTATTAATTGGGTCACAATTCCTCTCCTAGAATATGAGTTGAAAGGTAAAGCTGAAACCCATCCCCCTCGAATGCTGCTTTTTATTTTGAAAAGCTATTTTACTACTAAAGAGTAGTGTAGGAATCATGCCAATCAAATCATTGGTTGTAAAAATTGGTTGTAAATTGATTGGTTATAAATTGGTTTATATTGGCTATAAATTGGGTATAAATTGGTTTGTAAATTGGTTGATGTGTTTCGCCCACGAAATACACAGTCAATCCACTTTACAATATATTCGTAATATATTTTGCAATATATTCTGTGAGCGCTTTGGAACATCTCAACAACATATCAAATGCAAGGATTATTATTGTTGTTAATAAAGGTCTGTCATCTTAAAAACTGTAGAAGGAGTTTCGTATTAGCCAAATACTGCAAACATTTCTGAGAATGCTGACTAACTAAACTAAGTTGAAATTCTAGTCTTTGGGAATAGATCAGATAAGAGCACATCTGTTAAGTGTAATATGCACCATCTTACAGGTGTGGAGCAAAGAGTGAGGGGGGGGGGGGGAGAAAACCAAGCGAAAACAACAAATGCTTGATGTAATGTACAATTCACCACTGTATAAATGTTGTGTCGTCCCAGTTGAAAGGAATTTTATCAGCAACTAGGAGTGCACCATCGGAGTTGAGATGTCAATTAACCAAGGCAAATGGAATTGCTGATTTGGAAGTGTCTGATAGCCCTAGATTAATGCAGCCGGTAGGAATGATCTAAAGAAGGAAAATTATGATTGCGTTATGAACGCAAATTTCCTTCAACTGAACATTGACAAGATGGAAGCCATACTTCCATGTCGTTAATGTCTAAAATTTCACGGCTCTCACCTCCTCCGCCTACCCGACCTCCCCCTAAAACTCTCCAAACCCGTACCAACCTAGGATTTAGGTTCGACCCCCGATTATCCTTCCTCCCCCACATCCGGTCCCTCACCAGCACCGCCTTTTTCCACCTCCGTCGCATCGCCCGACTCCGCCAATACCTCTCCCCAAAAGCCGCTGAAACCCTGGTCCATGCCTTTGTTACCTCTTGGCTGGACTACTCCAATGCCCTCCTCACCGGTCTCCTATCCACTACCATCCATAAAATCCAACTCATTCAGAACTCTGCCGCCCGCATTTTCACCCGCACGAAACTCCGCTTCCCGATCACCCCAGTCCTTGCCAGACTGCACTGGCTGCCTCTCCCAGAGAGGATCGACTTCAAGATCCTCACCCTCGTATTCAAGTCCCTGCACTCCTCTGCACCCCCCTACCTCTCTGAATTCCTCTCTCCTCAAAACAGCACCAGTTACCTTCATTCCTCCTGGTCTGGCCTCCTCCTTGTCCCCTGAGTCCTCCGCTCCACCCTCGGTGGCTGTGCCTTCCACCACTATGCCCCAAGGCTCTGGAACTGCCTTCCTCACTCCCTTCATCTCGCTCCCACCCTTCCCATTTTCAGGTCTCTGCTGAACACCTTTCCTTTCGACCGCACCTTTGGTCATCTTCCTCCCCCTTCCCCTGGCTCGGTCCCAGGATCCATTACTGTGAAGCGCTCTGAAACGCCGTCCAGCGTGGAGGGCGCTATATAAATCCAAATTGTTGTTGTTATTGAACAAGATGAGTAGGTTCCCGACTGGCTTGGTAAGGTGGAGTATGCATCTGTGGATGTTGATATAGCCAGTGCCTGAGGTGTGGTATAGCTTAAGGTATGGGACCCTCGGTAGCAATACAGATGCATCCTTGATTTTTCTTGGATAACCAAGGGTTAAATTTGGTCAAGTCTATTTGGCTTCAGAAAGCAGAATTACAGATAAGTCAGCCATCTGCCATAAAACAGCCCTAAGGCTCTGTTTACGCAATCTAACAAATTGGTTCAAGATTAAATCTGAATGTAAAGTTACTCTCAAAGGCAGTTCAGATCCACTTTCTCATCATTAAGTTGTTGAGCTTAGGCCCCCAGAGGTCATACTCAGGCTCCATCGTGCTCTGGTCAGGCTGCACCAAGAGAATGCATAAGTTCTGGTCACCGCAGCATGCCGGCACTGCCAAAGCGCAATGAAGAAGAGAGCAGCGAGTATGATCCCCAGTGTTAGAGGAAGGAGCTATGACCAACAATTTTGTCTTGAAAGAAGACAACTCAGAGGGCACCATATCATAGAATCATAGCATTATACAGCACAGAAGGAGGCCATTCGACCCATCATATCTGTGTCGGCTCTTTGAAAAGAGCTTCCAAATCAATCTCACTCCCCATAGCCCTACAAACTTGTCCTCCCCAAATAATTATCTACTTCTCTTAAAAGTTGCTATCAAATCGGCTTCCACCACCCTTTCAGGCAATGCCTGAAAAAATTTGTGTGAAAAAATTTCTCCTCTTGTTTCTTTTAACAGCTATTTTAAAATTGGTGTCCTCAGGTTACCGACCCACCCGCCAGTAGAAATAGTTTCTTCCTTTTCACCCTATCGAATCCCTTCATGGTTTTGAAAATTTCTATTAAGTCTCCTCTTAACCTTCTCTGCTCCAAGGAGAATAATCCCAGCTTCTCTAGCCTCTCCTGATAATTGAAGCCCGTCATTCCTGGTACCATCCTGGTAAATCTCCTTTGCGCCCTCTCTAATGCCTTGACATCTTTCCTAAAGTGTGGTGCCCAGAACTGAACACAGTCTCTCGCTGAGGCCTAACCAATGTTTTATAAAAGTTCATCATAACTTCCTGACTTTTGTATTCTATGCCCCTATTTATAAAGCCTAGTATCCCATATGCTTTTTAACAGCTTTATCTACCTGTACTGCCACCTTCAAAGAGGTGTTCAAAATTTTAAATGGGATTGAAAAAAATCCAGATCAATACTTGTGGAGTCCTGTAGCTTAGTGGTTAGAGAAGTCGCCTTGCAAGCGAAAAGTCCTGGGTTTGATTCCGAATCCGGTTGTTAGTCGATTGGCAGATCATTTTTCTGGTGGTAGAAATCTATTCAAAAAAAATCACTTAATCCTGTTTGTGGGACACTGCTGTTTCTGATTGGCTGCTGCATTTCGCCCACAAAATATAGTTAATTCATTTTATAGTATATCCTGTGAAGCGCTTTGAGACGTCTCGAAGACGTGATAAGGCACTATATCAAATACAAGGATTATTATTATTACTTTAGGATGTATCAAGACAGCAGGAAAAGAGGACATAGGCTTAGAGTTGCAAAGTGCAATATTAGGACAGATACCAGGATGTTTCTCTTTATCCAGTGGGTAATTAACAACAGGACAGGCTGCCAGGACTTATCTGAAAAGCGGTTTGATGTTGTTATGGGAGGATGGTAGGGTGCGTATTCTGGAGAGCTGAGATCCAAAGGGTCGAAGGGCAGAGGCTAGTATGGATGAGGACAAGGACGGCGGAATTTTTTAATCATTGAGTTGACATTGAGATGAACTTTAATCATTGGTTAAAGCCAGGAACCTAAACTCTTTTGTGAACCAGCTTGATACTGTGATGGGAAGATGGGTATTGTAGAAGGATGAGATCAAATGGACTGAAGAGCCTTCTTCATGACTCTTTTGTCATCTCCACTTTTTGATTCAGGTCTGCCACAGACATTCCCCCAACTCTACACTACCCTTCCTTGTAACTTCAGCAATCAAATCCAAGTGTCCAAGGGTGGCCTGAATCCACATCCTGATCTCACTCTTCCTACTCATCCAATCTTCTCTGGACATACATTCCAGACATATCTTTTGCTCTAATGATGGTTTACTGCACGCAAGGGTGCAACACAAGTAACAGAGTGCATTTTGTTTGATATCATTGACTCTGATTATTTTTATTACCATTTTTAAAATAGTGGTGCAGAATCTCTCTGTGATTCTAAGTGATGGGGAGTGTCTGACTGCAGAAACAAGACAACCTAGAGTATAAGTGCATGGGATCAGGTTGATAGAGCCTCTTGTCTGTTCTCCAAGTAGACATTCAACATCTCATGGGTGTTTAAGATTCTATAACTAGGTTTATTTAGTCACTCAACCCATAGTTCTATGTGAGATATTACGGGCGCCCATAAAACAGTCTGTACAAGTTAGTAATTCATATAAAGTACTTTGAGATCATTCTATGTGGCAAGGCGCCATAAAAATTCAAGTTCTTTCCTTAATAGGGAATGAGATACTATTCCAGTTTGTTACTGAATTCTATAGTGTTTTGCAGGGAACCCAATAATTAGCCAAAGTTATGATGGGAAGCAAAATAGTTAATCGCTTCTTTTAACTTCTTCGGAACTGATGTTTTATTTAACCATGAGGGCAAATTCAGGACTTGGTGACAGATCCCATTGGCACACAATAACTTTGGCTCTGCCTAGCCAGGTGGCCAGCCCATCTGCCGACCTCCAATGACATGGATATGTAGGTGATATACGGACTGTGATCCATTCTTTCCATCATTAATCACTGGAAAAAAACAAAGAGCAAGGGTTGCATTAGACAGTTGACACGGTAGCATTTATAAAGGCGGTTTAAAAAAAAAATCGAGCTAAAATCGACAAATCTAGATTTATAGGCGTTTACCTTCAATTTGTAAAAATGGGCAACAAGTGCCTGTGGAATGTTAATTCCCAGCCAGGAATCAGATGCTTCAGGTCAGGGGAAAGAAATATGTCCTGTGAAAGCGTTTTGAGATGACTGTCCGACATGAGAGGCGTTTTATCAAATGTAAGGATTAGTTTTATTATTATTATTTTACTAATACACCACTTTGCTTTTACTCAAGATGGTAGAGAGAAAAAGTGAAAGGTTTGATCTGAAATGTGGTGGAAAATTAAATGCTTCATTCCTCTCCGCAACGACACAGAGCCTCAGCATTCATTTGTTCCTCAGATCAAAATTCCTCGAAATAATTATTCTCCCTCCTGATGGCATTCGACTCATTTTTTATGTGAATCGTGTGGACTTTTGCCATCTTGCCCAAGTGACTATTGCTCATGTGTTATCACTGACAGACTATTTGATTCCAGGGCATTCCAGACCAGCCCGATCCTGTTCTCACTGAATGGACACATCCACACATACCACCACCTGGTGAGTGTGGAGGCTGGGGGGGTGTGGAAGGAGATCACGGGTTAGCATTAGCAGCGGGAACCCTGACTGACTTCAGAAGGGAATCATCTAACTGTCTGTCTATGGAGGTCTGAGCTCAGTCAAACTCGGGACAGTACAGTAGAACATTTGCATTAAAATGTTCAATGGAAAACATTAATACATGTTCAATAAAGACAAGATAGATGTAATTTGACTGAAATACACACTATATTGCTTAACAACTTCTGATTATGATGTTAAAATTAAGCAAAAGCAAAAATAAATTTTGAATAACGACTATTGCCTGGGTATAACTATCACCTTACCGAGGGCTTCCTTGGGGACTAAAGCTAGCAGTCCCCTGATCTGTAAGGCTGAGCTTTTGGAGGAGGTTCTTTCAAATGCATTTTAAAGGATTAGGCATCAAATCGAGGAAGTCTAAGAGCCAGGAACATAGGCTCTGGAGGTTTATGCGATTTACGTAACTAATATTGTTTTATTAATAATAATCCTTGCATTTACTATAGCGCCTTATTACATCACCAAAATGTTTCAAAGAGCTTCTTTTTTTACTGTTAAGTCTAGTTACTGTATTTTGTAGGCAGACAATTTGCACAAAGCAATGTCCCACAAACAGCCATGAAGTGAATGATCAATTTTATCAGAAGGATTGTTGGCCGGGATACAGGGAGAAATCCCCTTCTCTTTTTAAATAGATCCATGGAATCTATAACTGCTCTGGATTAAGCATTGCCTTAAATAGTGCTCAAGTGAAAAGGTTAAAATTATATGAGAGGAAGGAATGGAAATAATTGAAATCTGGATCTTTTGATATAAACTTTTAAGTTGGTCACAATTTTGTGGGGTATGAATATCAAGCTCATGAGATAGCAAGGGGTACTGCAATCTTGACAAGAGATTTTTTTGTTATTTTATTCCCCTGAACTGAAGCATCTGATTCCTGGCAGGGATTAACTTTCCACAGGCACTTGTTGCACATTTTTACGACTTTCAATCTGAAAAATGTAAACTACGTGTAGAGTATTCAAACCACTATGCTAGCGTGCTGATTATTATTAGTAATGATAAAATAATAATCCTTGCATTTAATGTAACACCTTATCATGCCATCGAAACATCTCAAATTGCTATTACAGGATTTACCGTGGAGTGTAGTGACTCTGTATTTTGGGAGGCTCAGCGGTGTCTCTGAACTGCACAGGAAAACTACTGTGGAAGGACTCAGATGAGTTTGGAAGCTCACCTCTTCTTATATTTCAATTAAAGAGAATGAAAAATTAAATTGCATTGGGCACCGTTCAAACAGGGAGCAAAAGGCAAAGCATTTTTGAAGAAAAGTATCAGTAAACGTACCCATCCTATAGCCGTCGGTCAGCCCCTCTTTCTTTGCTATATTTTTAGCCACAACCAGGAGGTGTCCCAGAAGCTGTTTAACACACAAAAGGAGATTAACATTGTGTAATTCAGCAGAATGGTCCAACTGGTGGCCCGTGGGCCGCATCTGGCCCAGGTAATGATCTCATCCAGCAGTCAGCGGGGGCTCAGGCTCTGCCCGGCAGCAGGATTGGGAAAATATTGGTCATGGGGCCTGCGGATGTTTCTCAAATCTGGCATTCGGCCCTCGGCAGCCAAAAGGTTAGACCACCCTGTCATACAGGAAACACCAAGATCTGAGGTCCCGAATTCCACCTCCTCTTAGATCATTTAATCCCAAAATTTAAACACCTGCAGAATGGTGCAATTTGTTTTTAAAATACAGGCTCAAGTTGGAAGCAGACATTTTCCACAGTTCTTGAAAAAGACATAAATGGGATTTATCCATCCTCACTGGAAAAGCTCTGGTATTTTGCTCTGTAAAGAACGACTTCTGGCCTTACCTCTGCATCATCATCAGCCGCCTCACTAATCCGTGGGATAGGGGTCTTGGGGATCACCAGAAAGTGAACTGGACCCTGAGGGTTTACATCTCTGAACGAAAGGCACTGCAAGAGAGGTCAGGGAAAGAAAAAACTGTATTTAAAAGCAAAATCTACGCATTGGGGGGTCAGTAGTAAAGATATAGTCAACATTGAATCCACCTAAATGCATTAAATAGCATAGATGTATTTAAGGGGAAGCTAGACAGGTACATGAGGGAGAAAAGAATAGAAGGTTATGCTGAAAACTTAATTTGAGGAAGGGCAGGAAGAGGCTCATGTGGAGCATAAACACCGGGATAAACCAGTTGGGCCGAAATGTCCTGTTTCTGTGGTGTATATTCTAATGTATTATAATGTATTCTAAATTGGCTGCTGCATTTCGCCCAGAAAATATAGTCAATTCACTTTGCAGTATACTCTGTGAAGTGCTTTCAAATGTCTCAACGATATGATAAAGCACTATATCAAATGCAAGGATTATTATTATTTATCTAATGTACTTGGATGAGCAGGTTGGGATCTCCTCTTCCCCTCCCACCCCGACAACACAGCGCATCCCAATACAGCAATGAAGTGTCGGTCTACATTTTGAGTTCAGTACCTGGAGAAGGGCTTGAAACCACAGCCTCCTAACTCAAAATGCGTGTGTTCTAGCACTGGGTACACAATAACATTCAATAAAGCAACAAACATTAAATATCACCTGGTCATCTTCATATATAATATCGGCGGGAATCGTCTTATCGATTATCTTCGAAAATAATGTAGCCGGAGGGTTTCCATATTTCTTTCTGGCTTCATCGGCTAACTTTGCTTTGAGAACTTCATCCTGTTGACCTTTTGAGGAAGAGTAAACTCTCTAAATATGGAAGAGAATTTTTTTTAATCACAATTCAATATGTGATGACATTATTTTGCTGTAATAATAATCCTTGCATTCGATATAGCTCCTTATCACTTGGTCGAGACGTCTGAAAGCGCTTCACAGGATATACTATAAAGTGGAGTGAATGTGTATTTTGTGGGCAAAACGCAACAGCCAGTTGAGCACAACATTGTCACATAGCCAAGTGGAGTGAGTGACCATTTTTTAATTTTATGTCATTAACCTTCAACCCAGTCCAATCCCCATATCCTCATCAGACAACCGAGATATTGAGGAGACAAACCAGGGAGGAAGCGCTGGCAGATTTTGTCAGTATACTCAAGAGGGAACTGGGTAGCTACATGGTGAAGAAATCAATCGAGGATATGAGAAACAGAGTACAATATTTATTTAGTTAGATTTTATTTTATTTTGGAACTGTCCAAATGGACAGCAATGGTCTTTTCTGATCCTGGGTTTCTAAGGACTACACCACCTTGAACTGGCTTCACATTACTGCTGTCACCTACCCTCTGGAACTCCATCCCAGGATCCCTTCAGCTCGCCCCATCCCTTGCCTCCTTCAAGGCCGGTCTTAAGACCTTTCTGACCGCGCCTTCTGCCATCCTCCCACCCCCACCTCACGTAACCTCCAGCGCCCTTTATACCAACCACCAGCTCGGGTGCAAACCCTTCATTGGCCAATTATTATTATTGTTATTATTATTATTATTGTTGTTGTTATTATTATTGCTATTATTATTGCTATTGTTGTTGTTATTATTATTGTTATTATTATTGCTATTACTGTTATTATTGTTGTTGTTGTGATGGTGAAACAGCTGCTGCTCAGTGACACAGACCCAGAGCCTCTGCTGATGATTGACAGGTCGGCAAGGGAGGGGGCGGGGCTCGGGGGAGGGGGCGGGGCTCGGGGGAGGGGGCGGGGCTCGGGGAGGAGCTCGGGGCGGAGGGGGCGGGGCTCGGGGTAGGGGGCGGGGCTCGGGGGAGGGGGCGGGGCTCGGGGCGGCGGGGGCGGGGCTCGGAGCGGCGCTCGGGGCGGACCTGTCAATCACAGGCGCCGTTTGCTCTGCAGCGGCAGAGGGTGTGAAGGCCCCTCCCCTCCCCCCTCACCTCACAGCCCCACACTCTGGGGGTGAGGAGCACCACCGTCAGACGGACGAGAAGCTGCCTTTGCCGGGGCAGCAGCCCCAGGCCCAGGCCCAGGCCCAGCCCGGCGGCCATTGCTGAGAGGAGGAGCGGGAGAGCAGCCGCCCGTCACTATTTCTGCAGGAAACCGGGACCTTTTCCTCTCCCTCCTCCTGCCGTCTCCTGGCCAATAGCAACACACAGGGCAGGCGGTGTGCTGACTCCGGGCTGTCTGATTGGCTGGCTGGGTGATTGGCTGGTTGGTGATTGGCTGGTTGCTGGCTGGTTGGTGATTGGCTGGTTGCTGGCTGGTGATTGGCTGGTTGCTGGCTGGGTGATTGGCTGGTTGCTGGCTGGTTAGTGATTGGCTGGTTGGTGATTGGCTGGCTGGGTGATTGGTTGGTTGCTGGCTGGTTGGTGATTGGCTGGTTGCTGGCTGGTTGGTGATTGGCTGGTTGCTGGCTGGCTGGTGATTGGTTGGTTGGTGATTGGCTGGCTGGTGATTGGCTGGTTGGTGATTGGCTGGCTGGTGATTGGCTGGTTGGTGATTGCTGGTTGGTGATTGGCTGGTTGGTGATTGCTGGTTGGATCTCATGACGCTCCTCACTACCGCAGGACAGTAAAATAAATGAAGACAAACAAAAACCAGAAGTGGCTGGAAACACTCAGCAGGTCAGGCAGCATCTATAGAGAGGAAAGTGAGTCAACGTTTGGAGTCCATGACCCTTCGTCAGAACCGGGGCGTGTTGGGAGGGAGAGGCTGTTCAGGGCTGACAGAGAGGGGGGAGGCAGGGCAAGGAATACAAAGGAGAAAATGGGGTAGAGGACAGGGGATGATGGGTTAAGGTGTTAATGATGCAAAACAAAGGGGTGGGGGGAGGATTGCAGCAACAACTTGCACTTTTATAGCGCCCTCTACTCAGGGTAGCGTCTCAAAACCCTTATGAATGGCGGAGCCTGACTCCAAGCCGAGGGGAGAGATGGCCATAAGCACGGTCGAACAGGAAAGTTTTCAGGCGGGCCTTGAAAAAGGGGAGAAAGGGGCCAAGGCGGGCGGAGAGATTGAGGGAGAGTGTTCCAGAGTTTCAGGGCGCCGTGGCTGAAAGCACCACCTCTGACATTATTGTACTAATAATCCTTGCATTTGACATAGTGCCTTATCACATCGTTGAGTCATCTCAAAGCGCTTCACAGAATATACTGTAAAGTGGATTGATTATATATTTTGTGGGCGAAACACGGCAGTCAATTGTGGTCAGCAGTACCCCAAAAACAGTCATGGATTGAGTGACTGAATTATTATTATTTGGGATGGATTATTCCCCCTGGAAAGCGATCTGCCAATCGACTAAAATAACCTATCCAACGCCTTGGGACGTCCTCCCGACGTAAAAGGCGCTATACAAGTGTAATCTTCTTGTTGTTGTTGAAGGTCAACACTGATTTATTCAGTTTAATAAATCAAGACCTGTTTTGCATTTTGAGACTAATGTTGTGGCTCCTCTTAAAATAAGTACAAGCTTATTATGCACCTCAATGGCTCCTATAATTTAGGTGATAATTATAATTCCTGCATTGATAATATCCTTATCATGGTATCAAAACATCTCCAAGCCTTTACATAGTTTACTATAAAGTGAGTTTTGTAAGCGAACGCATCAGCAATCTTCCGAATCTGAGACAAGCATACCAGCCAGGCTGACACCTTGCTCATCATAAACCCCACTCCCAAGATCACCTCTGCCTGCTCTGAATACGATCCTATGAAGAGGAGAAACTCGTACCCAGATTTAGAACTTCTATTGCTGATTGGAATGAGCACTCTAAAGAAGTTTCAGCTGTTCACATGTGTGAATAGTGTGCAGTGGTGTAAACCAGCAGCCCATTTCACAATGACTGTGCTTACGTAGCTACATTCAGGACATAAGACCACTCTGGTCAGTCTGATCTGTGTATTTGGTAAATCACAGTATTTCCCATCAGTAACTACCTTAAGATGTCCATGCACTAAGCAACACATTCAGTGAAATGGCTAACTCTGCCTTGCAATGGGGGAAAAGCTGAATTGAATTTGTGCTCCACTCAGGTTCCTTGACGGTCTGTGTTGTGCTTCCAATGAAGGAGGTCCTTTTTTTTGTGGTCAGCCAGGAATCTTGACATGTGCAAAAATTCATCATCGTGCTTAAGCATTGTAAACCAGTCAAAAGTTGGATATACATATGCCACTTGCACATGGAAATTTCTGTTTCTGCAAAGGAGTGCACACACACTCTGGAGCAGTTGTCTCCAACCAGTTCATCGACAATGCAGGGCACCTTCACGAATGATCAAAACTGCAAGAGGAAGGAGTGACAGAACTGCGTTGTCATTGAGTCCAATTGAAGCTAGATGCACAAAGTATGTCATGCATCTCAAAATAAAAATATAAACTAATGTTTAAACTGCAATAAATATTGCTCCTTCCCTCTTGTTTTTATTGAGGATGTGTGAGATGCCACCTAACGCGATTGACCAGTTGAAGACAAGAACAACAAATTACATTTGTTATAGCGCCTTTCATTGCTGCTCTAGAGGGACACAGCCATAGGCCAGGATGCCAGGAGCCAATACCTGGGTACCCCAAACTATATAAACTAGTGGTACTGCTGGAGTTTAACCAGCTAAACTTGCACAGCTGAACAATATGATATTCATACACAATTGACATGGCAAAGTACTGGATCGTGGGAATTCTGATGTGTCTTATTCAAAACTTCAACCCAGCTTTCTCTTGTTGGACACTGTCTTGATCGGCTGATGTCTTTTCCCAGAAAAATATAGAAAACAGTTTGTAGCAATCAGTTGTCTGATACATAATGAAGGGGAGGGGGCGAAGAAAGGCACCTCCAAATATTTTTCATACATCGCATTTTTATAACAAATGCAACATTCCAAGGCAAATGCAAGGAATTATTATTATTCCTGTTTTTAAGAGCCTTCAAGACCTTCCTTCAAGACCCATCTCAAGACCCTCCTCTTCGACTGTGCTTTCGGTCACCCTCCTTCCACCATTGCCCTCCACCCTCCCCAATCACAACCTCCAGTTCGGGTCCAAAACACTGATTGTCCAGCACCTTGGGACGTTCCTCTTGATATGAAAGGCACTATACAAGTGTAATTTTGTTGTTGTTTTAATTTCAAACTTAGTTTAACAATTCAGAACACATCCCTGGACACCCCAGAAACAAGCAAAGCATAAACAAGGCTAAAAGGATTTTAATTTTTAAAAAAAACAATATTTGTCGCACAGGGCAACCAACTCTGATATAAAATGGAATTGGGTGTGGAAGGTATCTCCAGGTATTTCCTACACTTCACATTTCTATAACAAATGCAATTTTCCAAAGCAATAAATTGAACAAAAATGCTAAAAACATTATTCTGGCTCAAACTCAATAGTCAGACGAAAGGCCACTGACATACCTGGAAGTAAAGCCCGAATGTCCAGCAAAAAGCAACTCAGTGCTGACTGAAGCAATGTTAGGTAGAATGGGACAAATTGTCCTGCAAAGTGTCCAGCTCATATACAAATACAAAATTACATTTGTATTGTGCGCTTCACATTGGGAGGATGTCCCAAGCACTGGACAGTCAGGGATTTGAATCTGAGGAGGGGTTTGGGATCGGAGAAGGTGGGTGGCAGGGATGGGAGGGGTGGAAGGTGACCAAAGGCACGATCGGAGGGAATCAATCTCTTTAAAAACCCATTCTGGCTCTTTTCTTTTTTGGTTGAGAGAGCACAGACTGGCTCAGAGACAGCACGGATTGGCTTAGAGATGGCAAAGACTGGCTCTGAGAGAACAGGGACTGGTTCTGAGAGGCCAAGGCCTGATTCTGAGAGGGCAAAGGCTGGCTGGGGGAGAGCAGTGACTGGCTCAGCGAGGACGAGGGCTGGCTCGGAGAGAGCAGTGACTGGCTCAGCGAGGGCAAAGTCTGGCTGTGAGAGGCTAGTGGGTGTTTCTGAGAGGGCAGGGGCTGGCTGCGAGAGGGCAGGGGCTGGCTGCGAGAGGGCAGGGGCTGGCTGCGAGAGGGCAGGGGCTGGCTGCGAGAGGGCAGGGGCTGGCTGCGAGAGGGCAGGGGCTGGCTGCGAGAGGGCAGGGGCTGGCTGCGAGAGGGCAGGGGCTGGCTGCGAGAGGGCAGGGGCTGGCTGCCAGAGGGCAGGGGCTGGCTGCCAGAGGGCTGGCTGCCAGAGGGCTGGCTGCCAGAGGGCTGGCTGCCAGAGGGCTGGCTGCCAGAGGGCTGGCTGCCAGAGGGCAGGCTGCCAGAGGGCTGGCTGCCAGAGGGCAGGCTGCCAGAGGGCAGGGGCTGGCTGCCAGAGGGCAGGGGCTGGCGGCCAGAGGGCAGGGGCTGGCGGCGAGAGGGCAGGGGCTGGCGGCGAGAGGGCAGGGGCTGGCGGCGAGAGGGCAGGGGCTGGCGGCGAGAGGGCAGGGGCTGGCGGCGAGAGGGCAGGGGCTGGCGGCCAGAGGGCAGGGGCTGGCTGCCAGAGGGCAGGGGCTGGCTGCCAGAGGGCAGGGGCTGGCTGCCAGAGGACAGGGGCTGGCTGCCAGAGGACAGGGGCTGGCTGCCAGAGGGCAGGGGCTGGCTGCCAGAGGGCAGGGGCTGGCTGCCAGAGGGCAGGGGCTGGCTGCCAGAGGGCAGGGGCTGGCTGCCAGAGGGCAGGGGCCCGAATGCTTCACAATTGGTATTTACGTGTGGAGTAGACATCAATGGGATTTGGGAAGAGGTTGCTATTGGTAAAAAGTAGCTCATTTCATCGTCCTGCTCGGGTTGAGGTGGATTGTCTTCCAAGGCATCCATGTATTTCTGTAGAATTCCTTTCCGTTCCCTGGGCATGGATCTCAACTGAATTTCTAGGGAGGGCCCTGGGTCCAATACGGATTTCTGGCTTCCTTCTGCTTCGGGCGCACTGGTCTGCACCTCCTCTTCTTGCTCAAGGACAATACTTCCGTTTGCTCGGCTCACTGTAGTGGACCTATTGAGAAGGGTGTGACTTTCTGTGTCGGACAGATAATCGCTCTCCTTGAGATTCTCTGTCGAGGTTCTGCTCCAGATTGAGGCGTCAGTGAAGTCGGAAAACTCAGACACCGATGAGGTGAAGCTGCCTGACAGCCCCCTTCTGTGTCTCGCTCGAGCTGATTTTTCATTCTTTCTTTTCGCCTGTAGCACTTTAATTCTCTTATCGTGGTTCATGCCAAGCTTCTCTGACCACCATTCGCTCCACTTCTCCTCCCAAGCTGCTGTGAGCCTGTCGCTCAGATCATCTTTCCAAACTGAGGGATCAACAGGGTCTGGAACGCTAACCGGGTCCAATATTGGGAACGTGCTGTGGGAAAGGATCTCTCTCTTCTCCATAACACTTTTAATTCTATCCCTCACCTCCTTGTATGCGTCGCCCGATTCATCGCTGTTTTTGCAGGAAAACTTATGCTTGACGTTTATGAAACAGTGTTTGGGCAGCACTTTAGAGTTTGTATTAAGTTCTTTCTGCTTGTTTACAAATGACTTCAGCCACCTGCGACATGTGACAAGAGCAGCACGACTGAGTGGTGGTTTTCTGGTACTCTGGCTGCTCAGTGTTGGAGTTCCTTCTTTGTCTGCTCTGAGTGGCGGGGAGGCTCCCTCTGATCTTTTGCCCTCCCCTCCTCCAACCTCTTCTGGATCTCCGTGCCCAGAAGGATCCTCTGAGAGTACCCCATTGTTCAGAGTAGGACTAATAGGTTCACTGTCATTTCCGACCCTCTCCTTCGTTGGATTTCCGTCATCGCAACCATTCTTCCGAGGAACGAGAGTTTGGTAAAAGAGATCTCCCGCTGCAGACAGCTGAATCACAGAAAGTGAATTTCTCCCGCGACGATGATAAAATGCTGCAATACCTGCAGGGCAATAACAAAAAATTCACTGTAAAACACGTGTATCACAATTGTACATTTAAATTGCATTTCTTCAAAAACAAAAGTTGGTCTGAGAAATAATTTTTTAAAAAAAGGGTACATCCCATGAAACACTTTGAGATGTGCTCCTGAAGTGAAAGGCACTATATCAAATGCACGGAAAAAAGAGCAAACTACAGTCGTACACCAAACAATGGGGGAAATGGGGAAGGAAAATTGCCAAGGTAGCAAATTAATCTGCCGTGGGTTTGACCAGGTAAGACGTATTCAACTGCTTATAACACTCTCGGCATGAGGGGAGGGAGTGTATTGGAGACACCAAACAACCACTTCCACAGGCTCCCAGAGCTTTGGGGAATTCCCTGGACAGCAGGGGAACCTTGCTGATCTACCACCACAGCACCATCTAGGGCTGGTGAAGCACCTCTTCACAAGGAACAAATGCCCAAATGGACGCAGCATTCGACGGCAGCAAAACAACAACAACAAAATTACATTTGTATAGCACCTTTCACATCGAGAGGATTTCCCAAGGCGCTGGACAATCAGTGTTTCGGACCCAAGCTGGGGGTTGGGATTGGGTAGGGTGGAGGACGGGGGCGGGGGAAGGAGAGTGATTGAAGGCACAGTCGATGAAGAGGGTCTTGAGATGGGTCTTGAAGGAGGCAAGGGAGGGGGTGAGGTGGAGGGACTGCGGAATGGAATTCCAGAGGGTGGGGGCAGAGTAGCTGAAAGCCCACCCGCCAATGGTGGGTCAGGCCAGGTGGGGGCCGTGAAGCAGGCCAAAGCCCATTGAGCAGAGGGAGCGGGCAGGATGGTAGGGGGTTAGGAGGTCACAGAGGTAGGGGGGAGCAAAGCCATGGAGGGCTTTGATGATGAGGACCAGGATCTTGAACTGTATCCTCTGTGTAATGGGAAGCCAGTGATGATAGGGTCACGAACGTTGCGGAGGTGGGGGAAGGCAGAGCGGGTCATGGCATGGATATGGGGTAGAAATGATAGTTGAGGGTCAAACAAGACGCCAACGCCAGAACACTGTAAACGAACTAGGCTCGTTCACACCTTGCTGCGAGCAAAGCTTCAGGAAATACTTCCCGGATGATAACGTATTAGGAAAACTTGATGGCTTTTGTTCATTCAGTTTTAGAGAATAATAGATAAGACAATTAAAAAAACCTGTCATACCTGGCATCACACTGCTCATGGAAGCATTGTTCATGCTTTTTGAATTATATGAATCACTTCCAACATCCAAGTACTGGTGATTTAGCTGAAGACTGACAGCGCATTTGCTAGTGGTCAAACACAACTCACCTGCCCCCGGAGAGTGAAGTCTCTCAGTAATGACTGCTTCTTGCCTCAGAAATAACTTGACCGGAAGCTGCTTCAACATATCGTAATTGCTGGAGAGTTTCTGTGGTGGACCAAAGGACTGGCAGGGAAGCCGTGTACCTCCTGTCAGAAAAATAATTTGGTATCTGGCTTTACCATGCAACTGAGAAAGCCCTGATTACTAGGATGCTCCTAGCTGAATGAGCAGCTGCCTGTAAGGAAGCTTACTCGTGCTCTGCACTGAGTTAGCTGATTAATCCCCGGTAGTTTACAACCCTTTCCCAATGCGCACACTCGGGTTCCCAAGCCTTGGCTCTTCACAACCTATACCTAAATTCTCTGGGATTAGGTAAACAGGATGCATTCCACTGGAGAGAGTGCACACTCTGTTCTGGAGGACATCCAAAGGCACATAACAATACCAGCTTGGCACCCAAGCTGGGGATGGGTAAAAGGAAGATGACTAAAAGCAGTCAAAGAGTTAGGTGTTAAGATTAATTATTTAAAGATTATTCATTTATTATTGATATGTCGATCACATAATTGATCAGGACTGGTCCCTCTGTTACAATACATTCTATTCTCTTCTCCGTTCCCATATTTACCTTGTGGGTCACTATCACCTTATTCACATTACAGAACAGTTTACCAGTAATCATTATTAAGCTGGCACTCCAATGCCATGCTGGGGGTGCACTGCATTGTCAGAAGTGCCAAACTTTGAATGAGATGTTAAACCAAGCTCCCATCTGCCTGTTCAGGTAGATGTTAAAAATCCCACAGCACTATTTGAAAAGAGAAAGGAGTTTTTCCCCGGTGTGTTGGCCAACAGTCCCCCAAATAAAATTGGTTATTCGTATCATGGCTGTTTGTGGGACACTGTTGTGTGCAATTATGCTGCCATGTTTGCCGATAAATACACAGTAACTGTTTCACAGTAATTCCTATGAAGTGCTTTGAGACGTCCTTATAATAATCCTTGCATTTGATATAGCGCCTTATCAGGTCTTTTGAGACGTATCAAAACACTTCACAGAATATACATTAAAGTGAAGTGGATGTATATTTTGTGAGCGAATATCTTCCAATGTGATAAGGTACTATACCAGATGTGAGAATTATTATTATCATCACATAGTAACAAGTCACCTGAATACTGCAGAAGCAGTGCTTCCTGAGTGCGCTGCGTCCCCAGGACAATCTTGTGAGTTTCGTTCCTCGATGCCCCGCTCACAACTTGGGCGAACATTGGAGGCGACCCCATCATGTGCCTCCACTTCAGAACGGGGACAATAGGGAATCGTTCATCTATGATGTAGGCAGAATACTACATTGGAAAAATAAAATTAATCATTTTGTGTTCTGTCAGGGAAAGACCAATCAAGTCAGTGTTGTATGATGCTATTGAAAATCTTTTCAGGATTTTACAATCACAGTACGAGTGTATTAAAGTCTGCAGTTTTGGTTGACTTTTTTTTAGAAAACTATATACCATAATATATACCTATAATATATGTATCCATAGAAAGTAAATGCTCAGTCCAATTCAGAACTGAACTGCGATTCAATTAAAATTTACAATCAATTGATAAAATCAATGGAACACTAAATTTCATTTACAAAACACAGTCATTTTACTCTACAGTAAATCCTGTGAAGATTTAGAGACATCCTGATGTAAAAGGCACCATACCAAATAAAGGTCATCACTAATTTTCATGTTAAAATATAAGAAAATATTCTCCACAATGCGATCGATACAAGGAAGAAGAGCAATATTTATTTTAACATGTTTAAAATACATTGGCATTAAAATAAAATACTAACTGCTGCAGAAATGCAGAAATATATCTTGGCCTTGACTTTAGTTGACCAGGACTGCATCATCTGCAGTCTAAACAGTACTGGTAAACGTGCCTCACAGTATTGGGACTAGGAGCTTTAACCAAAGGATGTGTGCGTTATTCTATTGGTCTGCGCTTCACAATAACCAATAATCAATCAGGTATAAAAAGAGAGTTCAGTCAAGATCAATGAGACGCAGACTGGATGACTCCTCCACTGCCTGTTCCAATCCCAGGGATCAATACTGATCAATACCTCCCAGTATCCCATGTTCAGGTAATGGGTCTTTGTTCTTTGTATAGTCATTGACCTTGGAACTATAATCAAGGAAACAATTGTTTAACATCCAAATTGTGCGCATTATTTCATCATAGTAAAGTTTCCTTACAGCTTGACACCCCAAATGGGATAATTTTAACAACTGTTAAGAAGTTCGTACCTAAAAAGGTCTCTCTGTCAACTGCTGTCGAGAGAAGACAGTAAGAAACAACCGCAACCTAAACGCTGTCAGGCAGTGAAAGGTGGCCAAGGTAACCTGTCATAGTTTGGTTTTGGGTGTTGGGGAGTCTGAGGCCAGTTACAGGACCCGACCAGGATAGGCAGAATGGAAGAACTAATAACAAGAGTTGATTATATGTGCCAGAGTGAAAGTTTGTGATGAGTCATGGGAGCACTGTAAAGGAGTACAAAGAATTGCTTCAAGAGAAGCTAGATCAGGAAAGGAGAAAGGACTGCAATTATACAGGCACTATGGGTTATGAAGTAGACCCTGGGCAAGAAAGTCCAGTGCTTGTCAGAAAACTGAAAACAAGTGAAGTCAAGAGAGACTGTTGTGAAGTGATAAGGTTGAGGAGTGCAGGAGAGAAAAGCGAACAGCTAGAATCTGAAGCTAAAGTGTTGAAAGTCTGTGTAGCTATGTTCGTTCAGCGAGTGCTGCTCAGAAGCAAAAGAACGATGCAAAGTACTAACTAGGATGTGTAAACAACTAGAAAAATATAACAAAATTTTACAGAAACACGCCGAGGATTTAAAAAACAGTGTACGCATCAGTCTCAGCAAATGACAAACATAAAGCGAGGACCCACAGTAGCGCATGATAATAATGATAATAATAACCCTTGCATTTGATATAGCACTCTTCACATCTTCTAAACTTCTCAAAGGGCTTCACAGAAGATGTTGTAAAGTGAATTGACCGTATATTTGTGGGTGAAACGCGGCAGCCAATTGTGCACAGCAGTGTCCCACAAACAGTCATGGATTGAAAATGACTAATTTATTATTGTTTTGGAGGGATTATTATTAGGTGTGTGGAGTAAGGAAACTTGCCCAAGGTTTCGCCCTGCCTGGAACTGAACCCAGGTGTCTCGCTTGCAAGGCGAGTGCTCTAACCAGAGCTACAGGACTCCACAAATGATAAATGATACATTATAAGTGTAAGCACGTGATAAACAGGCTGCGAACAGTTAGGTATATAATAATCCTTGCATTTGATATAGCGCCTGATCACGTCTTCAAGACGTCTCAAAGCGCTTCACAGAATATACTGTAAAATGAATTGACTGTATATTTTGTGGCCGAAATGCGGTAACCAATTGCACGCAGCAGTGTCCCACAAGCAGTTGTGGATTGAGTGACCAAATTATCATTATTATTTGATTTTAAGCCATTATTACTCCCGGAAAAGAGGACCACCAATCGACTAATAACTAGGTTCCTACTAGGTAAACAGGTGTGTGGAGTAAGGAAACTTGCCTAAGGTTTTGCCCTGCCGGGAATAGAACCAAGGTCTATCACTTGCGAGAAGAGTGCTTTAACTACTAAGCTACAGGACTCCAGGATATGTCTAAGAAAGCCATACGAGGAAATACGAGACAGAGAAACATGGGGAAAGAAGATTGGGAATCTGCCAGTAGCCAGGGTTGATACACGCAGCATTACAAGAAGTCAAAGATTACGAGAGGTTAAGGAGTCTAACGATGTTAGTACATCTAGTGATGATCTGTCAGGTGAAGAGGAAATCTCCACTCGATGCTACACCACAAAGAGTTAAAAGAGATAATAGAAAGACTAAAATTGAAACGAGGAGATGATGCTTTAATGCATTTGGAAGTGCTTGAGCAGATGGCCAGATTACACCAATGTGAGGGGCGTATAACATCCAAATTCCGCGCATTATATCATCATTAAGGAAAGTCATTTCCTTACTGTGTTCTACGTAAGAACATAAGAAAAACTAGACGAAAAAAGACCAAGGTTCATCTAGTTCCTGGCAGTCTCAAGTACAAAAGTCCCAAACTACTTATGTACTACATCCCATAATGTTATTTCCTAAAAGGAAACTATCTAATCTTTGTTTGAAAGAATCAACACTTCCTGCTTCAATCATCTCCCTAGGGAGCCTATTACACAGGTTCAATATTCGCTCAATGAAATAGATTTGTTCTGAATTTACCCCCTTCAATCGCAGGCTGTGTCCTCTGGTTCTACTATTCTGGATAAGTTGAAACAGCCTGTTTTGATCTATATTGTCTAGCCCTTTAGATTCTTAAAGACAGCAATCATGCTGCCTCTCAATCTTCTTTTGTCCAGCGTGAACATGCTCAATTTACTTAGTCACTCCTCAAAGTCCAGTCCTTCCATTCCCTCAATCATTTTGGTTGCCTTCCTCTGCATCGTCTTGATTTCTCCAATAACCTTTTTGTACTATGGCGACCAGAACTGTACACAGTACTCTTAAGTATGGTCTCAACAAATGATTTCTACACCAAAGTTCTCATTGGATGTATTGGATTAGTTGGTACACAATGAAATAAACCTGGGGGTGAAAGAGGAGTTTTAACCAAACAATGTGGAAAGCAGAGTTTTGTTACTTCTTAAAGGTCAAGCTATTAAACAGTTAATAATTGATGCATTTGATGCCTCACTTTGTAGGTGGAGTTATAGCCACAGACCTGGGTGGTGATGAGGTAATGAAATGGATGCACATCCTGTAGGTGTTTAGGAAGTATCACTCGTTCCCCTCGCTGGCAGGACGCAGTAGCTCCCATCTTAAACAGCGTCTGGTTACAGGACTCGCCAGCCTGCAAAGATATTCAACAAGTTTGAAATCAACGAAATAACAACTCACGTTCTTCTGACATGAAAGGTGCTACGTAAATATAAATATATATTCCATAGGAACCTGAAGCCCTTGCCTTCCTCTTTAACCTTGCCTACGGTCACCTTTGCTCTCTCTCCCTGGCTTGTTGTCAAATTCTGCTGTTGTTCAGTTCTCCAACATTATGGGTGCTCTTTAAATGCAAGTAATGGTTATTGTATCTCTCTATCAATCCCTCTGCCTTGCCCGCTCCTTCCTCTTCAACCTTGCCTTCGGTCACTTCCTCCCCCTCCCTGGAGTTCGACCCTGAGCTGTCCTTTCTCCCTCACATCCGCACCACAACTGGCACCGCCTTCCATCACCTCCGGAATATCGCCAGACTACGGCACTACCTCACCCCTCACGCTGCTGAAACCCTGGTTCACGCCTTTGTCACCTCAAGGCTGGACTATGGGAACTCCCTCCTCGCCGGCCTTCCCGGCACCTCCCTCCACAAGCTGCAGGTCATTCAGAACTCTGCAGCTCGTGTACTGTCCCGCACCAGGCTTCGCGACCACATCACTCCCACCCTCGCTCGCCTCCACTGGCTCCCCATCCCCCAGAGGATTGATTTCAAGATCCTCATCCTCACCTACAAGGCCATTCACGGCCTCGCTCCCCCCTACCTCTCCGACCTACTATCCCCCTACTTACCTGCCCGTACCCTCCGTTCCTCCGGCTCCGGTCTGCTCCACGTCCCCTGCCCCAACCGCCCTACCATCGGTGGTCGGGCCTTCAGCCTCTCAGCCCCGAGGCTCTGGAACTCTATCCCCCAGTGCCTTCGCCGCCTCCTCCCTTTCCTCCTTCAAGGCCGGTCTCAAGACCTTTCTCTTTGACCGAGCCTTCAGCTCCCCTCTCGACTCTCTTCCCCCTCCTCGCTCCCTCCCTTCCCTCCCCTCACCCTGACCATTTCCCCCTCCCTCCCTTCCCTCCCCTCACCCTGACCATTTCCCCCCTCCTCGCTCCCTCCTTTCCCTCCCCTCACCCTGACCATTTCCCCCCTGCTCGGGTCATGACCCAACTGTGCAGCGCCTTGGGACGTCCTCCTGATGTGAAAGGCGCTTTATAAATGGAATCTTGTTGTTGTTGTTGTTGTTGTCAGGCTCTGCATTTGTGTAACTCAGTTGTGCATCAGCTAGCACTTTACAGAGCACTCCATATGTAGAATAAAATAAATTGCACTTGTATAGCACTTTTTTGTGACGAGAGGTGACAACAACAACAATAACGTGCATTTACATAGCTCATTTCAGGGGCAGCATCTCAGAGCGTTTAGATCTAATGAGATATAACATATAATGAGTTTCTCTTAAATTTTCCCTTATCTCCTACAGGCACAAACCTTTTGTGCTACAGTTCCATAGGCACCCTCAGATTGATTTTGTCCTAACCCAGCACCTTCCAGTAGAGGTCCCTCCGACTGATCAGAACTGGTTACATTTTTCTTTCCCAACAAAATATATGTTAATGTCCTCTACTGGAGATCCTGCGAAATGCTTTAAGACATCTCAAACAGTTGGTATGTTTGTGCTGCATGCAACTAATTGTCTGCGGAAGGTTAATCCCGTTAGAATGCTGCATAATGCGAGGTTGATGAGCGAATGCGGTATGTAATCCAGGAACATCTAAAAGTGCCCGCTTTAATCCTCACCCTCACGTCAGTCAGATCAAGGCCGGTTCTGTCAGCGTATAAATACACCCGTGGGTGAGCTGTGAAATCACACCATCTCCAAGGCAGTTGGGCATTGAAGTTGAGATTCTCGGTTTCCTTTCGAATCCTCTGAAGCCTGAAATAACATAAAGTAACTTGGCAAGATAAAGAGAGGACGGAAACAAAGCAGCGCATCAATTGGCAGTCCTTCCAAACATAAAGACCCACACAGCAATGCACTGGTCAGAAACAAAGCCCACAATCTCTGGAACTCTCTGCCTCATTCCCTCCGTCCAACTCCCACTTTTCCTTTCTTTAAAATCCACCTTAAGACTTGCTTCTTTGACTGCACCTATGTTCACCTCCCCCTTCTGATGGTCTGCTGCTGTGTTGTAGGATTATATATCTACTCTATGTTATCCCCTGAAAGGGGAAGATTCATAATAATACTTGCATTTGGTATCAAGCCTTATCACACCATCGAGATGTCTCTCAGTACTTCAAACGGATTTTATTGTGAAGTGTAGTGACTGTATTTATAGATAAACATGGTAGTCAACTCACCACACGGATACAACAACTCACCACACGACACCTCTAAAAAGGTCATAGCGGAATAGGGATTAAGAGTCTATTGCAGAGGCAAATTTACCTATTCGACAGATGGTGGAATTTTGCTTTGTAATTGTGTTTCTTGTGTGTTCCAATGAGGAACATTATAAAATATTTATCTACTGACCCAGTTTAGGCTCAGCAGCTTTGTTTTGGTTCAGGTCTTAAGCAAAAGTAGACGGGGGTGCCAATGTCGAGTCATAGAGCCAATGGACAAAGTGCATTTGGTGTGGGATAGCGTTCTGTCCCGTTAACTCCCCTCGAAGAACGATGGCACTCAGCAAACACTGAGCTGCTTCGTGTCTTCCATCCAATCTGCCCTACCATCGGTGGGTGAGCTTTCAAGGCATTCGGTACCCGTTCTCTGGAACTCCACCTTGGAGTCCTCTTCCTTGCCCCCACCTTCCTTGTTTTAAGATCCATAATTTCGAATGCACTTTTGGCTACCTTTCCTCTCCCCCAACAAGCTCTCACCAAGATCAGCATTCCAGTCAGCTGTGTAAGATATGCTCCTGTCATGAAAGGTGTCACATAAATGTTAACTGTTGTATTATTCACAGAATAAATGGGGAAAGAAAAAAAATCAATCTAATGTAACTGACAGTCTCTCAACTGCCAATTTGTTGTTTATTATTACTGTATCATTAACCTTATTGTTTTGAAGTAATCTGATAGGTTGATTAACTGGGTAGCATGAATATGTTATTGGTAAAATAAACCATGTTTAGTGAAAAGATTTGTTCAGTCACTAGACAAGCAAAGAATGGGAGAGAGCTTCAGTGTGTATTCAACGGAAAGGTTTGGTTTACTTATAGAAGCCGGGTGAAGCAAACATAACATTTAGTTTTAATCCACGCACTCAAAAGTATTTCAGTGTATTCCAATATTTGACTCACCCTTTGTCTACATTCCAGAGGTAAGCAGTTCCACACTCGCTGGCAATCACCAACTCTCCTGGAAGGTGAGGACTGAAGCAGAGGGCAGTGTTAGAATTCCTACGAGTGCTAGATTCCCTTACTCTGCCTTACGTACAAATCGCTATTTATTTTCATCACCGGGACAGATAAAAGCAGAGAATAAGAAGTTAGCTCCAATGGGACAGCAAGCTCCAGACTTGAGTGAAGATTCGATAACAACAATTTATATTTGTGTAATGTCTTTCACGCTGAGAGGACCTCCCAAGGCACTCAACAATACTGGCTTGGCACCCGAGCTGCAAATGGGAGCCCCAGGTGGATGGGGAGGGGAAAGATGACCAAAAGTGCAATTGGTCATAAAGATAGGTCTTGAGATGGCCTTTTTTCTCAGGATAAGGTATTCCCAGGATCAGTCCTGGCTGGGATTCCTCCCCTCCTTCTCTCCCTCCGCTATAGCACTTCTCCCCCTTCCCCACACATCTCACAAACAAATAAAACACAGAAGGCAGGCACCTGATGCCCTCGGAACCATTTCTCAGTAGAAGTAAAACGGAATAAAAATTACTTAAAGGGAGAAAAATTTGTTTTAACATTTACAAATTTTGGGCGGGGGTGGATTCTTCCCACTCAGTTCCTGTTAACCCGGCAGGCCAGAGCCTCGACCAATAAGATGATCCTAGCTGGACAAACAGCAGTGCTCTAAAAATGACAAGCCATGTTAAACTCCATCAGTACAACACACACTCTGGGGCGTCCAAACCTTAGCTCTTGCCAATCTGTGCCTAATGTCTCTGGAATTAGGTAAGCAGCATTAGAGAGTGAGGGAGTCTATTCCAGACTCTAGAAAACGTCTATTGTAGATGACATACAAATATGAAACTGCTTCTGGTTGAGATACTCTTATGCATGGTAATGGGTTTCCGCAGTTGTCCGACACCTGGCTTGTGAAAAAATAATTCAATAAAAAAGCACCTAGTTCTTACCTAACATTCACACAGGTAGCTACATTCTCCACTTGAACTACCTGGAGAGGAGAAGGTTTCATGCTCTTGGACAGTTTCCATGCTCCACAACAATAGTCCGACCGAACACCTACAAACACTGCAGTCGGGAAAGTAAAATGGGAGAAATAGCCATATGAGTTTTTAGCCACTCAAAGCAGCTTGTGGAGAATGAAGTCAACACAAAGGTTAAAATTCAGAGCACATTTTAATGATGTGCAAAAATGTCTTTTTTTATTATGGAAAGGTTTATTGCACTATTTCATAGAAGAGCTAATTGCTTGCCCCAGTGTCCAGGCAATATTCCCAACCTTACTCAAATTTACCAAAACAGATAAATTCATTTATTATTTTTAATTTTATATTAATTTATTAACTTCGGCACTGTTGGTGAGATGCGGTCATACCTCAAGCCTTTCATGGAGACTCAATCAGATTTGGAAATAACTTAAAAATGACAGGCGTTATTAATGTATCTTTACTTTTTTTAACCATAACTTTGTTTACTGTTTAACTAATACAATTAAAACAAACGTACACATGAATATAATATATTCTGAATATCGCTGAGAAACTACTGCTGGTTACACATTAACCCTTGCAGAACACCCACTGACTCCATGATAACAACTTGTATTTATATTGCGCCCTTAACGTGGGATAACGCATCCAGAGAACTACACAGTGATCAGACTGGACACCGAAAAGAGAAAAGGGGAGACACAGGTGCGGTTGAAGAGATAAGTTTGTAAGCCTGCCTGGAAGACAGATGTTGGAGGGGGAGGGAGGGGGTGCTAGAGTCAAAAAAAACAATAAATTACATTTGTATAGCGCCCTTCACTTTGGAAAGACGTCCCAGGGTGCTGGACAGTTGGACAGTCAGGGGTTTTTGGACCCGAGCTGGGAGTTGGGGTCAGGTGGGGTGAAGGCCAGGGGGGTAGATGGGTGGCCGAAGGCACGGTCGAAGCCAAAGGTCTTTAGACAGAACTTGAAGGAGGCAAGAGAGAGGGTGAGGCAGAGAGATTGCGGGACAGAGTTCCAGAGTGGAGGAAATATCACAAGCTAGGAGAATATAACAAGGCTTCTTTGCCTTAGCCAGGCACGTCACCACTTTCAGGGGAAGAAAACGTAACATTCTAAACAACAAGCAATAAAACAATTTTCACCGACATGTACCTTCCTGGTCCACCTCACTGCAGGCGATTTGATTGATCCTACCATTCAAGCTGACGGAGGCTGGCTTATTAAACTTTGCATTTAACTTTGGCACTTCATCATCATCAAAATCTAATTTGATCTTGCGGAAGTCTGGTGTCAATTGGTTAAGGAGCTTCAACAAATTTTCTGCTAAACAATATGGGTAGTGCTACTTTTACTTTATTTTCCCTATTTCTACCTTTTCTTACCGTTTTTTATACCTAGGNAAAAATCTTCCTTACATTTTTGTGTATTTTACAATATACATTGTCATTTTTGGATGGATGAAGCTTGTTTTGCAATTTATATTACTTTTCCGACAAAACACACTGTGACTCCACTTTATAGGGTATCCTGAAAAACGCTTTGTGAAACTTCCTCCTGACGTGAAAGGCACTACGTCAAATGTAAGAGTTATTATTATTCTGGGGTCAAGACCACCCTCAAAAGACTGCTTCCACGACCAATGAAAAGCTAAAAATCTGAAAAAACTTGGGCTTATTTAAATTTTTTCAGAGTATAATTTTTTTTCGCTGGTGGTGGGGGTTGGGAAGAGAGGACAGCGTACATATAGAGAGCAAGTATTTGCAGGCTATCTTTTTTTTAAAAAAAGATTTCTGACAACAGAACAGAATATGATTTGTATATCCACTTAGAGAACAACCAAAGAAACACAAAAGAAATGCTAGATGAAAAAAGATCAAGGTCTATCTAGTTCACCTTCCTGGCGGTTGCATGCACAAATGTCCCAAACTACCTATGTACTATATCCCATAATGTTATTTCCTAAAAGAAAGCTATCTAATCTGTCTTTGAAAGAAACGGTTTAGACAACCGCTTGGGGAAATTCAGAAAGTACGACATGCAACTGGAAATTTTCAGATAGCCACTTTTATGGATGGGGAGCATCCATCCAAAAGGATACTGAGGGAGCTCATCAAGTCGGTGCTGGGATACATCAGGCACCCTTCTTCACAGCTGGATCCTTCAGAAAACGGCCAGTACACGAGAGCACCACCAGTGGCAGAGTGATTGAACAGAAGTTGGTTTCTTTGGAAGTTCATTTCTTCGTGAACGTTTTCTGCCAGTAAAGTTGGTGGAATATCAAACATGGACTCACCGAACAAATGACTTGAAAGTCTTGCTCGGGGAGTGTTATTAGATATTGGGCATCTGTAAAAATCAGTGAACATACATTAACATATAACTCAGTGCAATGGAGTTTTCCATACTTCCGTTGGGCCCTGACAGAATTAATAATTTAAGCTGACACTTCAGTGCAGTTCTGTGGGTGCTCTGCATTGTTAGAGGTGCCGTACTTCTGATGAGATGGTTATTGTGCCTCAGGCGAATGGTAAAGAGATCGAATGGTTATATTTAAAAAGAGTTTCTCCCGGTGTCCTGACCAACCAACAATTGCCCAGATAGAATTGATCATTCACTTCATAACTGTCTATGGGACACTGCTGTGCTCAAATTGGCTGCCGTTCCCGCCTACGAAATATACAGTTGCTACACTTTACAGTAAAATCCTGTGAAACGCTTTGAGATGTCCTCTTGACATTAAAGGTGCTATACCTATTACTATTTATTATAGTTTCTGCCAAGAGGACAGTTCGCTTAACACTACAATACTACACGTGAAATGTAGTTCTTTACGTTTTGCTACTATCACAGCGATATATCATCAGGCATTTGTGCATTCTACTTTGGAGATGATGTTTCCAGGTTCATGTCTCTCTCTCTCCGTTTCTGAATTAGCTCTGAGAGAGGAACACACAGTAATCCAATACACTGTCTGTTGCTTACAACTTGTCTGGCACATCAATGAAACATTGCTTCAATCTTGTGAGCGCTTATAGGCATGGTGGTGGATTTAAGTTGACTTGAAACATGCTGCATGTTTGCATGTATATTAATAATAATAATCCTTGCATTTGATATAGCACCTTATGTCGTTGAGACGTCTCAAAGCTAAGCTCTTCACAGAATATATTCTAAAATGGATTGACTGTGTATTTTTTGGGCAAAATAACACCAAATGTGTTTATTTGCACCTCTGGTGTTCAAGAGGATGTAAGGCAACATAAGGTAGTTGCAAACCCACTTAATCCAAAATATTTTTTTTTAAAAATAGTAATTTACACGGACATAAATTACAGCAGTCGATTTATAGTCAATTTGGCATCACGGTATTTATTCAAAAATTGCAGTTAGACTTTCATACAATTCATGAGTATTTATGTTTTTTGTAGCAGTAACATCGGAGGAAAGAATTTTTCAAAGTGAGGAAACTTTTCTGAAGGTAGCAAAATAATACATCACCCCCCAAAAAACAAAACAAATGCATGGCTACTTACTGCCTCTGTTTCACTCTTTCTGTGAACGTTGTCAGGAAATTTACACTTATTGTCTTATCCCTGGCTCTTCCCTTCAAGAAAGAACAAGTCAACGTATTAAACTTATTTTAAATCACATTTCCACATTTAAAGTTAGTTCTCGACATGGATGTGCAGCGTAATTAGAGAGCTGAGTTTTCAGTAACTTCACCTCGCCCTTTGGAACTCCCTTCTCTCTGATGCATGGGGGAAACGATGCATTGAGAACTTCAATACACTCAATAAAAGTCTGAATAATCATCATCTCTACCTGTAATGGTTACTCTTTTACGTTCAAGTTCTTATATCAACTTGACACAGCAATTTGCTGCTGCATTTCGCCCACAAAATACACAGTCAATCCACTTTACAATATCTTCTGTGAAGCGCTGAGACGTCTCAACGACATAAGGCGCTATACAAAATGTAAAGACTATTATTATTATTGACACATCACAACCTTTTTTTAAAAAAAACTTATCTATTTACGTAGCGCTATATACTGTCAGTTTTGAAAAACAATCCTTGCAATGTGATACGGTATCTATAACATTGAGAATGTTTCAAAGTACTTGTAAAGTGTAGCTACTGTGTTTTCCACCCAAAAGGGACAGCCAATTTGCGTAAGTGTCCCCAAACAGCCATGAGATGAGCATACAATTTTATCTGGAGAATTGTTGGCCGGGACACCGGATAAAACTCCTTTCTCTTATCGAATAGTGCCACACGGGATCTTTAACATCCACCCAAACAAGGAACCCAGTTAAGTGTCTCACCTGAAGCTTTGGCAATGCTAACAATACAGCACCCCTACTGTATTGGAGTGAGAGCCAACAAAATAATAAAATATCATAGATTTATGCCATAAATCAAAAAATATTCACTCAAGAAACATTTATTTTGTTGGCCACCACTGGCCTAGAGTGTGAACTCAAAACAAGTGCTTGAAGCAAAGGTGAGGGAACTACCAACTGAGCCAGGCTTACACTTTAATGTAACACGAGGGGAAAATAAACACAATCTCACCCTGAGAATGCAGTCTCCGAAATAAAAGCTCTCTTCCAAAAGTTTACCCATTGACCTGAAGGCATCGTCACGGTGTTCAATAAAGAAGTAAGCCATCTTCAAAAAGGGGGAAGAGAAAACCAAACTTAGCATGAACAAAATAAAAATTAATCCCAGATATCTATCTAGTTATTGTAGCACATGTACAGAACCAAACAAGGTGAATCTAAATGGTTTTCAAAGCTTTCCTATTTCATGTTTTTTCTGATTCTCTCCTCCCCAGTCACACAAATTAGAATAATCCTTGCATTTTGATATAGCGCTTTTCACGTCGGGAGGACGTCCCAAAGCGCTTCACAGAAAAGACACTGTAAAGTGAATTGACTGTATATTTGTGGGCGAACGCGGCAGCCAATTGCTCACAGCAATGTCCCACAAACAGTTGTAGATTGAAAATGACCAATTTATTATTGTTTTTGGTTTTGGAGGGATTATTATTAGGCTCTGTGTGGAGTAAGGAAACTTGCCCAAGGTTTCGCCCTCTGCCTGGAATTGAACTCAGGTCTCTCACTTGCAAAGCGAGTGCTCTAACCACTGAGCTACAGGACTCCACGAAGGATTGCATCTGCATAAATCTAAACTAGAAAACCAATGATCACAAAACAAACTTAATAATAATAAGAATCCTTGCATTTGATGTACATCCCACGGAATTATCATAGAATATTGCAGCACAGAAGGAGGCCATTCAGCCTGTCGTGCCTGTGCCTTCTTTGGAAGAGTTACCCAATCAGTCCAACTCCCCCGCTCTTTCCCCATATCCTTGCAAATGTTTTCTTTTCAAGTACCTATCTAACTCTCTTTTGAAAGTTGTTTCCACCATCCTTTCAGTCAGTGGAATCCAGAGAGTAACAACAACGTGTTAAAAAAACGTCTCATCTCCCCTCTGGTTCTTTTACTAATTATCTTAAATCTACGTGACCTGGTTACTGACCCACCTGCCAGTTTCTTCCGATCTACTCTATCAAAACCCCTCATAAATTTGAACATCTCTATTAAATCTCCCCTTAACCTTCTCTGCTCTAAGAACATTCCCGGCTTCTCTAGTCTTGCCACATAACGAAAGTCCCTCATCCCTGATACAATTTTGGAAAATCTCCTCTGTACCCTCTCTAAGGCCTTGATATCATTCTGTGCAGAGAAAAAAATTATGTCAGCAAAAAATGAAAATTGTGCAAAACTACATGTTAAGAATTTAAATGGAAACACTTTTTTAACATCCAAGATTGAAATAAAGGAACACCAACCAGTCTGCATTCTGAACTCACAGGTATTGCAGGCATTCAGTGACTGCTTTGGCCATATTATGCAATATTATATAGTTTCCCGTAACAAAACGTATTATGCATAAAATTACCTGGATGCGTAATTGCCTGGGATGTAGGTATTGCAAATTGGTTGCTCCATTCCATACAAAGTACAGTTACTACCCTTTACAGTAAATCCTATGAAGTGCTTTAAGACATACTTTCAATGTGATAGGCTCTACATCAAATGCAACAAATAATAAATTATTATTATGATACAGTGTACAGACATAAGTAAATCAAAAAAGGATGGGGTTTGATACAACAACAACAACAAGATTCCATTTATAGAGCGCCTTTCACGTCGGGAGGACGTCCCAAGGCGCTGTACAGTTGGGTCAGGATCCGAGCAGGGGGGAAATGGTGAGGGGAGGGAAGGGAGTGAGGAGGGGGTAGAGAGTCGAGAGGGGAGCTGAAGGCACGGTCAAAGACAAAGGTCTTGAGACCGTCCTTGAAGGAGGAAAGGGAGGAGGCGGCGAAGGCACTGGGGGATAGAGTTCCAGAGCCTCGGGGCTGAGAGGCTGAAGGCCCACACACCGATGGTAGGGCGGTTGGGGCGGGGGATGTGGAGCAGACCGGAGCCAGAGGAACGGAGGGTACGGGCATGTAGGTCGGGGGATAGTAGGTCGGAGAGGTAGGAGGGAGCAAGGCCGTGAATGGCCTTGTAGGTGAGGATGAGGATCTTGAATTCGATCCTCTGGGGGATGGGGAGCCAGTGGAGGCGAGCGAGGGTGGGAGTGATGTGGTCGCGAAGCCTGGTGCGGGACAGTACACGAGCTGCAGAGTTCTGAATGACCTGCAGCTTGTGGAGGGAGGTGCCGGGAAGGCCGACGAGGAGAGAGTTCCCATAGTCCAGCCTTGAGGTGACAAAGGCGTGGACCAGAGTTTCAGCAGCGTGAGGGGTGAGGTAGTGCCATAGTCTGGCGATATTCCGGAGGTGATGGAAGGCGGTGTCAGTTGTGGTACGGATATGGGGGAGAAAGGACAACTCAGGATCGAACAGAACCCCGAGGTTCCTGATGGCTTTGAGAGGTGGAGAGTGCAGCCTTGGATGCTGATGGTGTCAGCGCCTGAGGTGCGGAGGCGCTGACGTGAGCCAATCAGGAGGGCCTCAGTTTTGCGCACGTTGAGCTGAAGAAAGTTGTCTCTCGTCCAGGACTCGATGTCGGACAGGCAGCTGTCAGGACATCGGTGGTCGTGGAGTTGAGAGTAGAGAAGGAAAGGTAGAGTTGGGTGTCATCCGCATACATGTGAAAGTTAACCCCATGTCTGCGGATGAAGTCACCGAGGGGGAGCATATAGAGGGTGAAGAGGAGGGGACCGAGGACAGAGCCCTAAGGGACACCGCACGAGACAGTGCGGGGGCCGGAGGAAAAACCATTCGTGGAAACAAAGTGAAGACGGTGGGAGAGGTACGACCTAAATCACTCAAGGACAGGGCCTTGAAGGTTGAGGTGGGAGGACAAGAGGTGGAGGAGGATAGCGTGGTCGACCGTATTGATGTGGCTCATTGCAGTTTCTCATTATGAAACATAGCATGTCCCTACACTCAAATACCATCACAAGTTTTCTTTCAGGCTGTAATAAGTTTTAGAAAAACTAAGACATTTCAGAAAACACACCTGCTCTGGGAAGTTCAGTGCACGCATTGCAAGCTCGTTGTTTTCCCGGCTTTTCATTACATTCCCGACATAAGAGAGGTCTTCCAGGGATGCAGGTTGAAACTTGCAGACTTAAAATTGGGAGGGATAAAAAAAAACAATCACTCACGCTTGAGAACAATATTACAGGTAACAAAAAACTGTATATGCTCACAAATACTAGGTTTTAAAACAAGAAGGGTCTTAACCAAATGAATTAGTTTTCAGAGGAAAGCATAACAAAGACAACTTTTATTTTGTCAGCCGAGTGAACGACATCACGAGTATCCAAACTAGGCAAGAGCTTCACATATACACACAATAATAATCCTTGCATTTGATGTCACGCCTTATCATGTCTTTTGAGACGTCTCAAAGAGCTTCACAGATTATATTGTAAAGTGATTTGACTGCATATTATGTGGGCGAAACGCAGCAGCCAATTACCAACAGCAGTGTCCCACAAACAGTCGTTGATTGAGTGATCAATTTATTATTTTTTTTAAAGAAATTATTACTCCAGGAAAAGTGATCCACCAATCAACTCAAAGCCGGGTTCCTACTTACTGCTCGGTAAACACAGGCATGTGGAGTAAGGAAACGTGCCCAACATTTCGCCCTGCTCCAGGATGGAATCCAGGTCTCTCGCTCGTGAGGCGAGTGCTCTAACCACTGAGCTACGGGACTCCACGCATACTAAGCCTGGAAACTTCCCGTCTGGAAATGGTGTGCGCACTCTCCCCGTCAGGAAGGATGCAATCTGCTTGCCTGTTTCTGGAACGTATTACGACGACTTGCATTTGCAGAGCACCTTCACACGGGCAGCAACTCAGAGCACTACCTGGATAGTAAGTCCAGGTTGGCAAAGCCAGCCATAGCTTGGGTAACCCAGAATGTGCATTGGGGAACTGTAGGAGTTTGTGTTGTGCCGGTGCCTTGGGACGTCCTCCCGACGTGAAAGGCGCGATACAAATGTAATCTTGTTGTTGTTGTTGTTGTTGTTGTTGTGTGGACAAACGTTGCATTACCTGCGTTTGGAGGAAGTAGCGGAACAGCCACTGGCTCCAGCGGATCCCAACTCTCCCGAGCCAGGCTTCTCAGGGCTACCCATTTCCGCTCTCCTGCCTGCAAAGGACAATTATAATAATAATAATAATCCTTGCATTTGATGCAATTGGCTCCAGTGTGAACAAAACAGTCAAACCTATTGATTCAACAGGCCCCGGGCAGCGGTATATCAATGTGATTCTGCTGTTGTTGCCGAATGTAAAGCAGAGATTGTTAGTGGTTCGCAAAACAACTTGTATTTAAATAACGTAACTCACTCCGCTTCACCCTGCACCCCCGCACCCTCGCTCACCCCGACCCCGTGCCCTCGCTCACCCCCCGACCCTGCACCCTCGCTCACCCCGACCCTGCACCCTCGCTCACCCCGCACCCTGTGCCCTCGCTCACCCCGACCCCGTGCCCTCGCTCACCCCGACCCTGTGCCCTCGCTCACCCCGACCCTGCGCCCTCGCTCACCCCGACCCCGTGCCCTCGCTCACCCCGACCCTGTGCCCTCGCTCACCCCGACCCTGTGCCCTCGCTCACCCCGACCCTGTGCCCTCGCTCACCCCTCACCCTGTGCCCTCGCTCACCCCGACCCCGTGCCCTCGCTCACCCCGACCCCGCGCCCTCGCTCACCCCACACCCTGTGCCCTCGCTCACCCCGACCCCGTGCCCTCGCTCACCCCACACCCTGTGCCCTCGCTCACCCCACACCCTGTGCCCTCGCTCACCCCGACCCCGTGCCCTCGCTCACCCCACACCCTGTGCCCTCGCTCACCCCTCACCCTGTGCCCTCGCTCACCCCTCACCCTGTGCCCTCGCTCACCCCGACCCTGTGCCCTCGCTCACCCCAGACCCCGTGCCCTCGCTCACCCCACACCACGTGCCCTCGCTCACCCCGCACCCTCGCTCACCCCACACCACGTGCCCTCGCTCACCCCGACCCCGCACCCTCGCTCACCCCGACCCCGCACCCTCGCTCACCCCGACCCTGCACCCTCGCTCACCCCGACCCTGTGCCCTCGCTCACCCCGACCCCGTGCCCTCGCTCACCCCGTGCCCTCGCTCACCCCACACCCTGTGCCCTCGCTCACCCCACACCCTGTGCCCTCGCTCACCCCGACCCTGTGCCCTCGCTCACCCCGACCCTGTGCCCTCGCTCACCCCGACCCTGTGCCCTCGCTCACCCCGACCCCCGCCCTCGCTCACCCTGTGCCCTCGCTCACCCCACACCCCCGCTCACCCCGCGCCCTGTGCGCTCGCTCACCCCGACCCTGTGCCCTCGCTCACCCCGACCCTGTGCCCTCGCTCACCCCACACCCTGTGCCCTCGCTCACCCCGACCCCGTGCCCTCGCTCACCCCACACCCTGTGCCCTCGCTCACCCCTCACCCTGTGCCCTCGCTCACCCCGACCCTGTGCCCTCGCTCACCCCACACCCTGTGCCCTCGCTCACCCCGACCCCGTGCCCTCGCTCACCCCGACCCCGCGCCCTCGCTCACCCTGTGCCCTCGCTCACCCCACACCCCGCGCCCTCGCTCACCCCGACCCCGTGCCCTCGCTCACCCCGACCCCGCGCCCTCGCTCACCCTGTGCCCTCGCTCACCCCACACCCCGCGCCCTCGCTCACCCCGCGCCCTGTGCCCTCGCTCACCCCGACCCCGTGCCCTCGCTCACCCCGACCCCGTGCCCTCGCTCACCCCACACCCTGTGCCCTCGCTCACCCCGACCCTGTGCCCTCGCTCACCCCGCGCCCTGTGCCCTCGCTCACCCCGACCCCGTGCCCTCGCTCACCCCGACCCCGTGCCCTCGCTCACCCCACACCCTGTGCCCTCGCTCACCCCGACCCCGTGCCCTCGCTCACCCCGTGCCCTCGCTCACCCCACACCCCGTGCCCTCGCTCACCCCACACCCCGTGCCCTCGCTCACCCCTCACCCTGTGCCCTCGCTCACCCCTCACCCTGTGCCCTCGCTCACCCCTCACCCTGTGCCCTCGCTCACCCCGACCCCGTGCCCTCGCTCACCCCGACCCTGTGCCCTCGCTCACCCCACACCCTGTGCCCTCGCTCACCCCGACCCCACACCCCGACCCTGTGCCCTCGCTCACCCCGACCCTGTGCCCTCGCTCACCCCACACCCCGCACCCTCGCTCACCCCGACCCTGTGCCCTCGCTCACCCCACACCCTGTGCCCTCGCTCACCCCGACCCTGTGCCCTCGCTCACCCCACACCCCGACCCTGTGCCCTCGCTCACCCCACACCCTGTGCCCTCGCTCACCCCACACCCTGTGCCCTCGCTCACCCCGACCCCACACCCCGCACCCCGTGCCGTGTGGATGTGAGCCGCCGGTCGGGCCGCCGCTGTGAGTGCGGCGGAGTCTCTCCCCTCACCTGCTGCTGCTGCTGCCGCTCCCCGGCGGGCGGGTGGAGCGGTTGGATCTGCTCGTGGGAGCCCCAGTCCCCGAACGCCTGGAGGACTGTCGCGGCCTCGGCGTCGGCGCCGCTCGAGGGACCGGAGTTGTAAAACCCGGGGAACAGCGAGTGAGGAAACGCGTTGTCCATGTGGGGAGCGCACAACACTCCAGGTCGGGGCGCCGCAGCAACGTCATCACGCCGCCGCATACTCCCCTCGTGGTCTAACGTCATCACGTAGCCACGCCGCCGCTTACACCTGCCCTCATGGATTCGCGTCATCACGTAGCCACGCCGCCACTTACACCTGCCCTCATGGATCCGCGTCATCACGTAGCCACGCCGCCGCTTACACCTGCCCTCATGGATCTGCGTCATCACGTAGCCACGCCGCCCTTACACCTGCCCTCATGGATCTGCGTCATCACGTAGCCACGCCGCCCTTACACCTGCCCCTTGTGGACCAACGTCACCACGTAACCCCGTCCTCTCGGTAAGACAGCGTGGCGACGTACACCCCCCCCACCCCCGACGACGATGACCACGTGCTCAGTGTGCTACACGCTGCTGTTGCTGTGGGACCCCATTCGCACAGAGCACAGTCACTACACTTCACAGTGACAGTGATCTCCCGACGCCCAATTTGCCGGTTTTCCTCACTCCTCAACTCCGAATCCAATGAATTCAGACCCACTTTCCTTACTCCACACAGAGCCCTAATAATAATCCACTCCGAAACCCAAAACAATAATAAATTGGTCTTTTTCAATCGACGACTGTTTGTGGGACATTGCTGTGCGCAATTGGCTGCCGCGTTCGCCCACAAATATACAGTCAATTCACTTTACAGTGTGTTCTGTGAAGCGCTTTGAGACGTCGAGAAGATGTGAAAAGCGCTATTTCAAATGCAAGGATTATTATTATTATAAATACACCCCAGCACTGGAGTGTCAGCCCTACAGATTATAAATTGAACAGCTCAACGATGACCTTGTACTCATTTACTGCAAAGACAACAGTGCTTACCAACTCACTGAAAAGGTTGCAGATTGTGATCCTATGGTGGGTTTGAGGGGGCAGTGGCTCTGGTCACTGGGGGTCAGGATTAATTTATTTAATACAATAAATAAAATTACATTTATAAAGCACCTTTCAGGTTAGGAAGATGTCCCAAAGTAATAAGCAAAATAAAAATATCGTTTTTCCCGCCCATCTTTTGCCAGCGCATACACATGCACCATCCAGGCATTACAAGCACACTTAATTCAGCAGGGAGAATTAATGTAAGAATAATACAACAAAATTACATTTATAGAGCGCCTTTCATGTCGGGTGGACATCCCAAAGTGCTGAACAGTCAGGTATTTGGGCCCGAGTATGGGGGAGGGGAGACAGAGTGGTGGGAGGGTGACCAAAGGGACGATCGAAGAGAAGACCGGCCTTGAAGGAGGCAAGGGAGGAAACGAGGCCAAGGGACTGTGGGATGGAGTTCCAGAGAGTGGGGGCAGAGAGACTGAAAGCCCGGCCATCGATGGTAGGGAGGGTTGAGCGGGAGACGTGGAGCAGGTTGGAGCCCGATGAACGGAGAGAGCGGGCAGGTTGGTAGGGAGTCAGCAGGTCAGAGAGGTAGGAGGAGGCAAGGCCATGGATGGCCTTGAAAGCGAAGACGAGGATCTTGAACTCGATCCTCCAGGGGATGGGGAGCCAGTGGAGTCGGGTGAGGGTGGGGGTGATAGAGTCACGGAGCCTGGTGCATGAGAGTACACGAGCTGCAGTTTTGGATGATCTGCAGCTTGTGAAGGGAAGAGTTGGGAAGGCCGATGAGGAAGGAATTTCCATAATTGAGCCTTGATGTGACGAATCCGTGGGTGAGGGTTTCGGCAGCCTGAGGGGTGAGGCAGTGGCGGAGTCTGGCAATGTTGTGGAGGTGGTGGTAGGCAGTGCCAGTCATGGGGTAGACGTGGGGGAGAAAGGACAATTCAGTGTCAAACAAGACACACAGATTTCTGACTGGCTTAGTGAGGTTGAGTGTGCAGCCGTGGATGCTAATGCTGCCAGCGCCTGAGGTGTGAAATAAAATAATAATCCTTGAATTTTTATATGTGCCTTATCATGTCATTGAGATGTCTCAAAGCGCTTCACAGAATATACTGGAAAGTATAGTGGCTATATTTGAGGGGCAAAACGCACCAGCCAATTGGGCACAGGAGTACCAATTGAATTACCCAAAACAGGAATTGTCCTTAAATATGAATCATTAGTCAGTTTCAGCTGTATTTTATTTCCTTTTATTTCTTTCCACAAAACAATTTCAAAATTTTCACTATTCACAATTGCAGCAAAATTTTAACCACAAAAATCTTACAACTGTCAATTAGCATGCATTAAACAACAAATTCTACATTAAAATCAGAAAAGTGTCCAGAATGCAAAATATTTACCATTTTACAGCATAAATATGATTTTACAGATCCTGCAAACAAACTACTGTGATTTTGCAGTGTGCATCTCATAGTTAAACATTAAGTTTTACACTATTATACGGCATTTTCAGTGTCAAGTAAAACTAAAATGGTGATTAAGGTATTTCTTTAAATATGAGCAGTTAGCAAATCTCAAGAGTAAATGCCCACTGTAAAGAGAGAATGCAAAGGCTATAGGCCTCAGAATCACAAAACAGTAGCTACTGGGATCTGTGGATAAACCTTTTATAAATGGATTCAGAGACAGGAGGTCACTACTAGGTAATTCAGCATCTTCCTCACATCTCTCTTTCTCTCCCCACCTCCCCATCCCTAAAACCAGTGATCAATCAGCTTAGAAATAAAATAACTGTCAGGTGCATCTTTAAAGGTTTGAAAACATGAAAGTGAAGCTACATAATAATTTTACACTTAAACATTGTAAAACTTGGTCCACAAATTTACAAAAACATGTACTATATTCACTTATACATATGTGTACAAAAACACAAATGGGATTAATTAACAAAACAATCACCTGAGAGTAAATAATTTGAATTGGAGCTAGAAAGCATAGATAAACACCAAGGGATTAAGCATATCTGATCATACAAAGCATGACTTACCCCATTTAAACTTAAAAAAAACCTTAAAACCAAAGAAATTCAATTAGAGTTAAAGAAGCTATATTTAAATCACCCACACACAATTTGTAAAATTACATTATATGTGCATCAAGCAGCATATTGATCAAATAGAAAATTATAGTTGGAAATGTAGTTGTGTTTAGCTCAGTTTGTGTTCATACTTAGTGAAGGCATGATAAAGTAAATCCCTTTTATGAACTGTGACAAATTAAAAATTCTGAATTAATTAAGTATACAACCTATCTGTAACAGTAATGTTGAGATTATGAGGACCAGAGATAACCAATTTTACTTTAAAGAATCCAAAATATTCCCACCTACCCCAGGACTATATTAATGAAAAGCTGCAATTTTCTAGCACTGTCCAAAACTAATTAATTACCTGGACGTGTGTCTATAGAGTAAATTAACAGTGCTGTAAATGTCTGAGATTGCCCGATTAATTTAAGCTCAAATGTTCACTTTGTATTTCAAAATCCAAAATTTCAGTGCTACAACGTGTACTGTAATTCAACGGTTCCATTAACCACATACTTCACTGTAATTTTCAAGTATAAATAAAACATTTGTATTTAAAGAGCATAAATTTTCCCATATGCTCTCCCCTCCCCATAAAGTGCTATCTTGCATTTTAGACCAATTTGAATACAAATGTAAAATGAATTAACATTTTAATAAATCTGACAGAAACAATGAAGTATAAATTTGGAAACAGCCCACCTTGCAGTGTGGGGATTAGATGGGGTAGAGGAAAAAAAAACACAAGATCCTCAGACAAACCCATCAAAATGGCAATTACAATCTCATCCTCAATTATTCAGAAGTCCGGTTTGGCTTTCATTTTATCCAGTGCAAGTTGCATGCTCCATATGCTCAAAGGTCTCATATATGCCAATGAACGATAGATGTTTTTTTCACAGTAAGCTTCAGGTGTCTGAAAAGCCATGCCAAGGCGTTCCCACACAGTCCTGTAGGTGCCCTCTGCAGTCTTGAATGCTTCATCAACAAGTCCCTATGAAACCCCCAAAATAAGTCATTTACAAAGAAAGAACCAAAAATATTGATTGCTTCATATTACTTACAAATAACATGTGCAGAAACAGACTGGATTTGTAAACAGCAAATCTCTCTTGCACACAGGTTCATTTCAGCTCTCAGATTGCAATCAAGTGAGGCTTCTGGTGTCAAGTGGAGATCCAGGTTTGCTATTTACAAACTCTCTGGTGAAGATCATAAATCTTTAAACTAATATCACTGCACAGTGAAATAAATCATGCAGTTTCCCTCCCCCAAATTAGAACAATGCACTGTTGAAATCAGCTTTTATAAATACATACTGTATATAAATACTGTATATAAAATAAAGAATATTTTTTTTAAAAAAGATTATAAGTTTATCTGATTGTTAATCTGATTTTGAACCTCATGTCTTTGCACTGTTTTGTTTTAATTCCTGAACTAGAAAGTACTTTTATAATATAATAATCCTTGCTATAATCTTTGATATAGCACCTAATCATGTCTTCGAGATGTCTATAAACACTTCACAGAATACATATACTGTAAAGTGAATTGACTATTTTGTGGGAAAACACAGCAGCCAATTGCTGCTCAATTTTTTTCTGATTCCTGACATTCAGATTTGGACGGACAAGATTTCGGCAGAATTCTAGTTATTCTTCCTTCTAATTTTCTATCCACCATGCATTTGATATAGCACCTATCCCAGAAAGACCTCTCAAAGCATTTCATAAGATTCACTGTAAAGCAAATCTTGTGAGGTGCTATTTACAAATCCTATCTGCCCACGTCCCATTCAAGAGGTTATATTCTATGTAAGTTTGGTGTAATCATAGGTTGTATAAGTGATATTAAATGTATGGTCCCAACAAATACAACTTATCTAATTTACTGCACTTCAATTGGCTGCTCTTTTCTACACTTGTGTCCTGTAAAGGGTTCACAATAAAACATGTGTTCGTTCAGCTGATAAAGTGGCTCTGGGAACAGTGAAGCAGTTAGTGGCTTTTAGATTGAGTAAGGTTTTGAATAAGTGCACTGGAGAGCTTTACTGCAATGAAAAGCTTCAATGAAAAATCATCTGTTTTCTCAATTCAACTCGTCACCCGACTTGTGAAATCAAGTTTTGCGAAAAAAATTACAATTATTTTTAGCTGTTGAGCAGAACAACTTTTTAGCAGAAATTGTCATTTGTTTAAAGAATAAATTAGATTGATTTCTGCTAGAGGGTAATATCTCAGGATGCAGTATATAGTTTGGGATACAAGATGTCAAGCGAGGATGGTTGAGGGCAAACCGGATGGGCCTTCTTTCGACGAGCAAATTCTTGTGTTCTTAAGTGTAGTGACTGTTTTGTAGGCAAAGTTTCAGAAGAAATGCAGGATTAGAGCTCAGTATTTACACTTTAGGATATCCTCCTGACGTGAAAGGCGCTGTACAAATATAAATTTGTTATACCAGGGAGGTTGTCATCGGTCCCCATTGTTCGAAACAAGTTTTAAATATTTAATTCTTAAACATGAATCAAGTGCAATTGGTCACATCGGCTGTGAATTCCTGATATATGAATAGGCAGAATCAAGCAAACTATAGGTTTTCTGGTTAAATATTCCACTCAGAGCACAAATTATAGATTGGCCCTCGCTGCCATCAAGATTTCAAATCAACTCACCTCTTGAATCATTGTGGCTGCCAGACTATAGACGACTCCAGTCCAAACCTCATCTGACTGGACACTGGATGTGTCTACGGTTCCATCAGGTCTCATTCCATTTACTGCTCCCATAGTTCCATTAGCAAAACTCATGACATTCAAGTCAAAGATGGTCTTTAAGGCACATACAATATTGGCATTTGGAAATACCTACAAATATTAAAGGATAGAAATAGTTCAATGATGAATAATTCATGGTCTTCCAGATTTTTTAATTCTTCCTCACTATTCCTCTGGAGGAGGTGGCCGCCAAATTGCTCTTAATTCTTCAGGGAATGCAAACTGGCCAGTAAATTGGTTCACGATAACATTCTTAGCGGGGAATTACTTCATAAACTACTCAATGCCTGTTATGATGGTGTCCCACAGCCCAAAACAATAACTTATTAGTTTCCAAACTTACTATGGCGGTTTGGATTCCATAATATTCCAACCAGCCCTATATCAGAGTTACATCAAGAGTGGTCACCAGTCCTCACACTGCACATGCTTGCAGAAAACCAACCGGCTTCCTATGTATTTAAAAAAAGGACGTGTTCTGAGTCAACAGCAGTGATCTGATATCCCAGAACGTTGGCCATTTGAAACATGCTGAAAGCCAGCTAGTGCACTCAAGCCAACTTAGACCTCTCTCTATTCCCTAACTACCGCCCCATCTCCAACCTCCCCTTCCTCTCCCAGGTCCTGGAACGAGTTGTTGCTTCTCAGCTTCACTCCTTCCTCTCCCGCCACTCCTTTCTCGAACCCCTCCAATCCACCCACAGCACAGAAATCGCCCTGGTTAAGTAACAAATGGCATTCTGTCCATCTGCAACCAGGGCTCCCTCTGCCTCCTCGTCCTCCTTGACCTCTCTGCTGTTTTCGACACCGTCGACCACTCTATCCCATCCACTGCCTCTCTTCTCACCTCAACGGCGCTGGTGACATCATCCGCAGACATGAAGTCAACATCCACATATATGCGGTTGACACCCAACTTTACCTTTCTGCCTCCACCCTCGACTCCAGGACCATTGCTGTCCTGGCTGAATGTCTGTCAGACATCAAGTCCTGGATGAGAGCTAACTTTCTTCAGTTGAACATCAACAAGACCGAGGCCCTCCTGATTGGCTCCTATCAGCGCCTCCTCACCTCAGGCGCTGACAGCATCACCATCCAGGGAGTCACATTCCACTTTGCTAAGTCAGTCCGGAACCTTGGGGTCTTGTTTGACCCTCAACTATCCTTTCTACCCCACATCTGCGCCATGACCCGCTCTGCCTTCCCCCACCTCTGCAGCGTTGCCCGGCTCCAACACTATCTCACACCGCAGGACGCCAAAACCCTCATATACGCTTTCATTACATCGAGGCTCGACTATGCAAACTCAAAGTTTGTCGGCTTCCCCAAATCCTCCCTCCACAGGCTGCAGGTGATCCAGAACTCTGCAGCCCGTGTCCTCTCCCGTACTGGGCTTCTTGACCCTATCATCCACATCCTTGCCCAACTCAACTGGTTTCCCATCACACAGAGGATCCTGGTCCTCACCTTCAAAGCCCTCCATGGTCTTGCTCCCCCCTATCTCTCCGACCTCCTAACCCCCTACCACCCTGTTTGCTCCCTCCGCTCAGCAGGCTCTGACCTCCTTCACGTCCCCAACCTTGCTCGCCCCACTATCGGCAGGTGGGCCTTCCGCCACTCTGCACCCACCCTCTGGAACTCCATCCCACAGTCTCTCTGTCTCACCCCCTCCCTCACCATCTTCAAGACCAACCTCAAGACCCTCCTCTTCAACCATGCTTTCGATCTTCCTGCTTCCCCCCATGCCCTCCCCCACCCCAACCCTCAGCTCGGGACCATAACTCTGTCTGTCCAGCGCCTTGGGATGTCCTCCCGACATGAAAGGCGCTATACAAATGTAATTTTGTTGTTGTTGGATAAATTCTACAATTATGACAGAGTAAGAAGCACTACTCAAATCCTTCTGACTAGTGGTTTGGCACAAGGCAGATGCCCTGTGAACCGTCCCCCAGGGCTGGGAAAAGGTCCGTGGGGCACCTGCCTTATGACAAAGTTATATTTCGTACAATTGGCTTCAGTAGTTCTGGACGAAGGAATCATGCAGTCCTCTTCTAGAGGGTGGCTGAAACTTATGGAACTGAATCCCCAGCGTGCATCAGTAAGGCTTTTTTTTGGGGTGGAGGGGGTGGGGGAAGAGGGAAAAAAATAGCAGTAATGACTACCTCTCTGTGAGTTCTGGGAACACCACTAAATGTAATCATTACTCAAGCATATCCAGAATCTTTTAAAAAAAGAAACTATTTTACCTCATATTCACCTTCTCCCAGGCCACATGCTCGCACAAACCACTGTCCAGCACACTGGTCAGACATCACACTGTTTGAGTAGCGCTTCTTACTGCCATCGTAATTGTAGTATTTACCTGAAATATTGGAAGCATTTAGATCCTCTACTTAAAAATTCAGTTACCAGACAGAATTCTCTAGTCCATGAAATGAATGAACTATTTTATTTGGGGGATTGTTGGTCAGAACACCAGGAGAAACCCCCTTCTCTTTTCAAATTGTGTCACAGGATCTTTAACTTCCACCTGAACAAGCAGATAGGGCCTCATGGGGTTTAACGTCTCATCCGATGGACGGTACCTCCAAGAATGCAGCACACCAGCAGCACTGCATTGGAGTGCTAACTTAGACTGTGTGAATTCCAAGACCTGAAATAGGGCTTGAACCCACAACATTTTGACTCAGAGACAAGAGTGCTACCAACTGAGCCAGTCTGTTGAGGGGCAGATTTGTGCTGCAAATGAAGTCTCAGATGACAATCAGATAACAGAAACCACAGTCTCATGGCCTAATATACACTGTAACATTTACAGAACACGACTCAAGTTTTTGTCAGTACATTTCTTTGCCGTCACCACCCTAAAAAAAGCAGTATTCAGCTACTTGCATTCTATCCAACAAGTTAATGAAGAACCAGTAACTGGCAAGTTTTTGTTAGAATTAAGTATTCTGCACAATAATAAGAGGAAAGATGTACCATTCCACAATATCCTCTCGTAAGATTCCTTTCCCCTCTTTAGCAGATCTTTGTATTTTTTGTATTCTGCATCCTTTTTCAAGATCTCAGCCATCTTGCACATAACACATACAGAGGCTAACCATAGCCCTCCACAGTAGGCACTGCAACAACACAAGTGTTAAACAGCTTTCCAAAGTAAGCAAGGCAAAAAAAAACACTAAAGTATTAACAAACAGGATTACTTTACAGATTCAAAAGGTGTATTCTTCAGAGTTATAGAAATCTTTGTTCTTCCTGGAACAGTCAAGTTCAAATTTTATAAATTTTTAATAATAGACCTACTGTACACAAAGTAGGTGACCTGGGAGCAGAGTTTGCCCATTTAAGCCTCTCAGATGGAAAAAGGGGAAATAAGTTCACTTAAGTAAAGGACAGGTATATGAAACTAATTTCTACCTGGGTCCTGTTACAGTCCAGCCATCATACGTCTGGTCTGCGTAGCCAGAGTTTTCTATAAGACCATCTCCATCAGTATCAAACTTCAGCTCCGACTCCATCACAGCCTAAAACCAACAGTCGCTCAATTAATAGAAGCAAAATGAATGCCACGGATCTGAAAATAGCGTGTCATTTTTCCCAGCCTAATCTTATCATACAGAAAGTGTTTCTACAACTGGAGAGCATGCCTCCCACCAGCACAAATTTAGAATGCACAAATGGTTGCACACTCAAGAGGTTGGGAGTTTCCAGGCATTTACGCTTCCTCCAAAAAGCCCAGATATCTCTTTAGACTTGCGCTGCAGTCATCCTAAAGGCAGATTTCTAGTGAATCTGCACAGGTCTAAAGCAGAATGAACTTGAGGGAGAGTGATCAGGAATTCCAGTCACGGGAGACAATGGGAATTTCTGTAGCAGCAACCGCAAGTCCTGATTAATGTCTTACCTCCCAGGTGTCAGGGTAAGGAACATAAAGTGGGTGCAGAAGATTTGGGAAAGAGAGAGAGAGAGAAGCCAGTAATCAATGACATTGGAAAGAGTAGGTTTCAGGTCCTGCAGAGTTTAGGGAATTAGGAGATAGATTGAGGCAAAGAACCTTGCAGGTTGTAATGTCAGGATGACTCCCTGTGACTAGCACAAGTCAGCAGAGTAATACAGATATGGCAGGAAGTATGATGTAGGATGGAAGGGATCAGATTATTGGGACATTGGGATCAGTTCTGGGAATTGTGTGTTCTGTACAGGATGGATGGACTACACCGGAGCAGGCCTGCGGCCATTCTCTTTGCTGGAGAATTAATATGGCTGTGGGGAAGGATTTACACTAACATGGCAGCGGAGAGTGGGGAAAAAAAGAGCAATCACAGATTATGGGCCGATTAGCCTTCTTCTGTGCTGTAAATTTCTATGTATAAAATGTAATGTAATTGCAAAACCCTACTGACCATGGGGAAAGACAACAACGGTTCAGTTTTTTTCTCCATCAACTTATAAAAACTTTTCTGACAACTACTTACCTGGCAGACAGACCACATATGTCGAAGATAAGTGCTATCCTCAGTTAGATGGTAATCTCTGTACACTTGTAAAACAAATTTCAAGTTGAGATCCTTCCAGTCCGCTGTATCATGAATCAAATAAGCATTTACTCGCTCCCAGGGCTCGTCATCTATTAAAAATATAATCAAAGCACAATGATGCTTGGTCAAGCTTTCTTGCAAGATTTGTGAACATATTAAATATATTTTCTCAAAAATGTACATGTGTATTTTATTCCAGCATCTGGGATGCCCAATACCACTGTCTGGTTAGACTACTGCAAGATGTAGGAGAAAGAATTGGCAACCAAACAGCTTGGTGCATTTTTACAACTAGGAAAGTATGCAAATGTTTTACATATACTTCCAAAGAATATTTGTGTAAATGTGTGGGAAATTAGTTACAAAGCCTCACCTGGATCTCCTATATCATGTGGGACTACATTTGGCGTGTTCACCTTTGCCCTTCTCCCGTTCATTAGATGGATGCGCTGTGTGCTATCCTCCTTTATTACAGCCGCAGCTGAAAAACAAAAATAAACCAAATATCATTAACAGCGGCTTTGTGAATCTCTCAGCTTCTTTCTTCTGTGAGCAGCTGTGCCAGACCAGGAAGGCTCCAATTTCAATTTTTGCCCGAGTTATCTGATGTTAGACAGAAAGATGCAAGTTGCAGTACAATTAGTTACGAGAGTGCTATAACCAGGCTGACACATTGCCAGATAGGCAATAACTGCTGGCTCTGCCAGCATCACACACATCCTGAGATGCATAAAAATCGTAGACTAGGTTCTGAAATTGCAAGACAACAGAAAATCACACATGAAAAGATTAAAAACAAACATTTACAGGTATAAATGTATATGCTGTGCACAATTGGCTGCCGCGTTGGCCCTCCAAATTATTCACTTAATTATCTCAAAAGAAAGACTGCAGCAGTTAAAATGCAATAGTTGTTTGAATATTTTTGAAGGTCTCTGAATCAGTGCATCCACCCTTGAGGTTTGAATCTTGTAGGAAATAGAGGAACTGAAGAGGCAATCTGACCATCTGGTGCTGATGAGTAAAACCACTTACCAATATCATATTGCAGACTAAGCTCCAGTTTAGGCCACAGCATGATTAGTGCAAATGATGCATAAAAATGAACATCGTAGGTATTGTACATACGGTACTCCTGTCCTGCAATTAGAAAAAAAACCTGCATTTAATACTTAGCGAAATCAAAAATTTACAAAAATAAAAAAAATTAGAAATTAAGTGAATGTTATATAGCAAAATGCAGTTGTTAAATTTGCGTTAGCAAAGTCCCATAAACAATGAAGTGAGTATCCAATTATTGTAAATTTAGGGTGAATTCAAATGGGGCAGGGGAATGACAATAAATAAGCCAGGAATACCGGGACAAAATCTCAATGATGGAGATGTGTCCAAAATAAATTGAACGCTTTGCAGCGTGCATTATGCAGCATATAGGTAAACATGTTCTCACTTGTGGAAGGAAACCATGCTCAGTTTTATTAAATTGTTCCAAAGGACACACCCAGTCAGTTTCCTAGCTTCCTCCAAGTTGTACTTCAATAAAAATGAGAAAAAAAACATACACAGGAAGAGATATTTAATCCGTATCCTTTATATGGTCAACTTTAATAATAGATTAAAATTATCAACCATATCTTTAAAATGCTTTATTATAATATAATACTAGCATCTTGTATATCAGAATGTGGAGGCCTGTAGCTCAGTGGTTAGAGCACTCGCTTTGCAAGCGAGAGACCTGAGTTCAATTCCAGGCAGGGCGAAACCTTGGGCAAGTTTCCTTACTCCACACGCCTAATAATAATCCCTCCAAAAACCAAAAACAATAATAAATTGGTCATTTTTAATCTACGACTGTTTGTGGGACATTGCTGTGCGCAATTGGCTGCTTCGTTCGCCCACAAATATAGTCAATTCACTTTACAGTGTGTTCTGTGAAGCGCTTTGGGACGTCCTCCCGACGTGAAAAGCGCTATATCAAATGCAAGGATTATTATTATCAATTGAGTTCATCATACTTAGAATACAAGTATCAGCTTTCAAACAGAACACCCTATATAAATGAGATTACTTCAACATGGGCATAGCAATTTAGTGCATAGTGCAACACCTTGAAGTGCTTAATAATAATAATCCTTGTATATGATATAGTGCCTTATCTCATCTTTGAGACATCTCAAAGCTCTTCACAGAATAGACTATAAAGTGAATTGACTGTATATTTTGTGGGCGAAATACGGCAGTGAATTGCACACAGCAGCGTTCCACAAACAATCGTGGATGAGTGATCAATTTATTTTTATGAAGGAATTACTATCCCTGGAAAAGCGATCCGCCAATCATCTAAGGTAAACAGAGGTTTACCGCTTGGTAAAAAGAGGGGTGTGGAGTAAGGAAACTTGCCCAACGTTTCGCCCTGCCGGGAATCGAACCAAGGTCTCTCGCTTGCGAGGCGAGTGCTCGAGCCACTGAGCTACAGGCCTCCACACTAATATGAAATTAAATAATAATAATAATAATCCTTGCATTTGATATGTGCAACAATATCCCACAAACAACAAGATGAGTAGCCATTTGAGTATGATTTATTTTGCAATGCAAAAGGGGGAAGTTATTTAATCAGAAGAGCCTGAAAATACTCTTTCAAATAATGTCAAGTGATCTTTTAAAGTCCACCTGAATTACAAGGCTGACAGAAACTCAGATTAATGATTCATAGGGACGATCTGGAATACTTGGATTTAATATGCAGCATTCCTCTCACTTGACAGAATGCCACATCACAGAAGCATACCTTCCAAATATCCAAATCGCCCATAATCCTTCAGCACTTTAGGTAGAGGAGGAAGTCCATCCTGCTCATTGCTCAAACCACTGGTTATATCAGTGTCATCAGGCACTTCAAGCCAAATTGTCCCTCCATCAGATAGAAAGTAAAGCTCATTAAATAGTGCGGATTTGTACCAGTCAGGCAATTTCCTGCAAAATGAATAGCAACAGAAAGGTGTGAATGATATAGCTCACAATTACAACATGATCAAACTGATTTGACCTTCAGGACCAAGACTAAAAATAGGCAAACAAGTGATCAGGTCACATGCAGAATATCATTTCAGAATAGTATTCTTTAACAAAGTTTATAATCTTGCTTTAATAAAACTGGTCAGTATTAGACTCTTGTATATCTTGCTTTAGCAAAAAATAAACAAATTTTTGATTACATTCAAGGAAATTTTACTGCAGTTAGAAGCACTTCACCCTAGAAATCCATACCTTTACTTACGAATTCTGTTTTTCTTCAAGATAAACTCAATCATTTATAATACACTAAAAACAATTAAATGCATTCATTTCTATTGAAATTTACAAAGAAAGTTAATGAATGACAATCGGAATGGGTAAATCTGAGCTTCAATATTGACTGTCAGAATGGCCTGTGCAGTCTTGTGTTTCCAGAAGATAACAGAACAAATACTTCAAATCATTTTTAGTTGCTGTGGTTCTGGCTTAAACACAGGCAGCATAGTTTATTCTTTCACCAACCACGAGCTTGATATTTGTCCTACATCTTTTGTAGCCTTCTTCCATGTAGATCCAATTTCCAGGGTTTGTATGAATCACATTTATAAAAATATCAACTCCAGAGTCAGCCTCCACATTTTTCAGTCCCTCTGCACCTCCATCCCCAACAAGGATGGCCTACAGGCCCTCGCTTCCACCTCGAACAGCGGCCTAACCAATCTCCATCCACCACCACCCTCCTCCGCCTGGCTGAACTTGTTCTGACATTGAACAACTTCACCTTCAACTCCAACCACTACCTCCAAGTAAAAGGTGTTGCTATGGGAACCCGCATGGCTTGTTGGCCATCTGGAACACTCTTTCTTCCAGACCTACTCAGGTCCACTCCCTGACCTATTCCTCACATACATTGATGACTGTGTTGGGGCTGCTTCCTGCTCACGCAGTGAGCTAAAAAAATTCATCAATTTCGCTTCCACCTTCCACCCCTCCATAACATTCACATGGTCCATCTCCAACTTTTCCCTTCCTTGATTTCACCATTTCCATCGAGGAGCATAGATTATCAACAGACATCTTTTACAACAAGATTACATTTGTATAGCGCCTTTCACGTCGGAAGGACGTCCCAAGGTGCTGAACAGAGTACAGCATTTCAGACCCGAGCTGGGGTTGGGGGGGGTAAGGGAGGTGGCCGATGGCAGGTCGAAGAGGAGGGTCTTAAGGCAGGCTTTGGGACATCCTTCCGACGTGAAAAGCGCTATATCAAATGCAAGGATTATTATTAAAGGCGGAGTGACTGGGGGATGGAATTCCAGAGGTTGGGGGCAGAGTGGCTGAAGGCTCTCCCACCAATGGTGGGGTGGGTGGGTCAGGGTACGTGAAGCAGGCCAGAGTCGGCTGAGCGGAGGGAACGGGCGGGTTGGTAGGGGATTAGGAGGTCGCAGAGATAGGGTGGGGCGAGGCCATGGAGGGCTTTGCATGTGTGGACCAGGAACTTGAACTGGATCCTCTGAAGGATAGGGAGCCAATGGAGTCAGGCGAGAGTGGGGGAGATGGGGGTCACAGAGTTTGGTGCGGGAAAGCCACGGGCTGCAGAGTTCTGGATTATCTGAAGCCTGTGGAGAGAGGAATTGGGAATGCCGACAAGCAGGGGGTTTGCATAGTCGAGCCTGGAGGTGTTTAAGGCATGAACAAGAGTTTCAGCGGCCTGAGGGGTGAGGTAGTGGCGGAGTCGGGAGATGTTACGGAGGAGGGAAGGCAGATAATACAAGCCCCCAACTCCCAGTTACCTGGACTACACTTCCTCCCACCCCACCTCCTGTAAAGACTCCTTTCCGTTTTCCCAGTTCTTCCATCTCCGCCACATGTGCTCTGATGATGCCACCTTTCACATCAGAACAGCTGAAATGTCTTCTTTTGCCTCGACCAAGGATTCCCATCCACTGTGGTAGGCAGGGCCCTTGACCGCCCCATTTCCTACACCTCTGGCCTCACACCCTTCCCCCTCTTCTCAGAACCATGATAGGGTCCCCCTAGTCCTCCCTTCCACCCCACCAGCCTCAACACCCAACAAATAATTCTCTGCCATTTTCGGCACTTCTAGAGTGATCCAACCACTAAGCATATCTTTCCCTCCCTTTCCCCCGATCTTTGTTTTGCATTATTAACACTCCTATTCCCCCGTTTTGTTGCAATCCCCCTTTGTTTTACATCATTAACACCTCTGTAACCCATCATCCCGTCATCTACCCCGTTTTCTCCTTTGTCTTCCTTGCCCTGCCTCCCCCCCCCGTTAGCCCTTGAAAGCCTCCCAGCATGCCCCAGTTCTGACAAAAGGTCGAGGACCTGAAACGTTGACTCACTTTCCTTTCTCCATAGATGCTGCCTGATCTGCTGAGGGTTCCCAGCGACTTCTGTTTTTGTTTCAGATTTCCAGCATCTGCAGTATTGTGCGTTTTGTTTCCACATTTTTCAGAGTTGGCTCCATTGTAGAGAGCACTCCATATTTAAACATTATCCCACCCAAACATGTCCACATTAAGTTACAGGACCTCAAAAGAAAAAGTATTAAATGGTACCACAACTATAACTTTTTTTTAGAAATAAACAGCATGAAAGATTCAAGATTAACTTGCCTTGGATTAGTTACAAACATGCCGGTGGAATATTAATAATTAAATTCCTTCACAAGGAGTAAACCAAATCAAATATTTGATAAGAATCCACCAACACATCAATGACTAGACAAAAAAATATCTGGGAGGCATAGCAGTAAAGAAGTTCATAGTACAAAGGTGCAGTACCGTCAAATTGAACCTCTGCAGAATGTTGCAATATTTACCCATTTTCTAAAATCGGACGTTGCCAATCATTAATCTTTTGTTCCCATTCCTTGTAATGTGTTAGAGAATAGTGACTGAGACCAGGACAAGCCTTTCCATTAGCTCCAAAATAGCGAGTGTACCACCTGTGTTTTTTTAAAATAGCAAAATGCAATGTACATTAGCAACCGGAATCAATTACTATCCTGTGAAAAACATTACCAAGTCTATACATTGATAAAATGCTTCAGGCTTTTAGTAGCGATCTACAATCTGATACTGCATTATTTAGGTTTGACAAATTCTGCAATTCACGATTGAGAAATTGATAAGCTTATATTTACTATCTTCTGACAAATAGTTCCCTATCAGAAAATAACATAATTAACAAATGCAGAAAAATGAACAGCACACAAAAAAGTTCAAGATCAGAATACTGAAGTACATATTTATATAGCCTCCTTAACGTAGTGTAGCAGAGTACAGACTATTCTCAAAATTAAATTACAAGAAAGGGAATAACAGTTTTTTAAAAATTAGAAGCAATATTCAAAGCAAAAAGGGATGAATAGAGCTTGGCAATTTTCTAGTGAAGTAACAAACATTAGGAATAGAGATTTATGTGTAGTGGAAACAATCAGAGTTACATAAGTATTATTACAAATCAGGTATTTTAAGTGACAGTACATTGAAATTAATGGCAAAGTTGCATTCATGGGGAAAAACCTGCGGACAACATCAATAGAAATGAGAAAATAGGCAAAGCAATAAGTCAGCAACTGCTATTAACTCCTCCTTTAGAGGTATAGCGAGGTAGCATTCAGAAAAGTAACACGTAAAAGGGAGAAGTGAAAATAGAATTTCCTTGAAGTAATAAATAATGAATAATAATAATCCTTGCATTTGATATAGTGCTTTTCACGTCGGGAGGACATCCCAAAGCGCTTCACAGAACACACTGTAAAGTGAATTGACTGTATATTTGTGGGCGAACGCGGCAGCCAATTGTGCACAGCAATGTCCCACAAACAGTCGTAGATTGAAAATGACCAATTTATTATTGTTTTGGGTTTTTGGAGGGATTATTATTAGGCTCTGTGTGGAGTAAGGAAACTTGCCCAAGGTTTCGCCCTGCCTGGAATTGAACTCAGGTCTCTCGCTTGCAAAGCGAGTGCTCTAACCACTGAGCTACAGGACTCCACATGCCCCATTCACATGAGCCATTCAATTTAGTTTTCAGATATCCTCCTGATGTGAAAGGCACTACATCAAATGCAAGGATTTATTATTATCTTTATATTACTTTGTTCGATTTGATGTAATTGAAGCTAAGGGTAAAATAGTTGTACAAGACTTTCAAAAACACATTTGTACAGAGCCTTTCATGTCAGGACGATAAGAATTCAACATCTCAAGTGGGAAGATGTGGAGTCCTGTAGCTCAGTGGTTAGAGCACTCGCAAGTGAGAGACCTGGGTTCGATTCCCGGCAGGGCAAAACCTTGGTAAGTTTCCTTATTCCACACGCCTGATAATAAACCCTCAAGAAAAAAAAAAAAAATTTGGTCAATCAATCTATGACTGTTTTGGGACACTGCTGTGCGCAATTGGTTGCTGCGTTTCACCCACGAATATACAGTCAATTCACTTTACGGTATATCCTGTGAAGCACTTTGAAACGTCTCGAAGATGTGAAAAGCGCTCTATCAATCCAAAATAATTGGAAGAAACTACTGTGGGTGTTCACCAAAATAACTTCAATTTGAAAGCATACTTACAAGTGAACAAGAGTGTGAAAGAGAAAATATATAATGGAAAAAGAAAATACTGGAAACCCAAAGCTGTTTAATTAGCGTCTGAAATATACACCATTTGGGGTCTAATATTATAATCCTTTATCTGGAGATTATATTTGGGGAAAGTGAACGTAGAACAAATTATGCAGAGGCTGTGGAAGTAACTTGGTGATCGAATGATGTTTTTGACCAATGCTACATCTTCAACATCTAGTAATTAAGGCAAGAGAAACGTTGTTTGTATTTAGTTTTACCCTTACCTTGAATGCTCCTTTTCCTTTGCCCCAAAATAGATTTTTGGCATGTCCCAAGCAAGACAGAATTCCATGTGGTTGTGTCCCCTTGCAGGAACTTTGCAGGTACCTGCAATGGCAGCCGCAGTCACCTGTCCATGCTCTGTAGGTTTACTACTTCCTAGATGTACCAAAACAAGAGCAGTCTCAATGTATGGTCATCTGCTCAATTACATTTTGAATGAGTTTGTGCATACAACAAACAACAAAATGACATTTGTAGAACCCCTTTCACAGAGGGAGGATGTCCCAAGGCACTGGACAATCAGTGTTTTGGACCCGAGCTGGGGATCAGGATCTGGGATGGTGGAGGGGGAAGGAGGGTGATCGAAGGCACGGTCGAAGAGGAAGGTCTTGAGACAGGTCTTGAAGGAGGCAAATAACCACTAATTTATGTAAATGACAGCCGGAATAAAATTACAGTAACACGACTGTACTGTATAATAAAATAAAGCCTTGGGTTTTCAATAGAAATGCAGTCTCATTATAAGTAGTCACTTTAGTGTGAATGACCAATTCTAACTTATTCACTTCATGTCTGTTTGTGGGGTTATTACCGTGGCTTAAATTGGCTGCTACATTTATCTACAAATAGTCATTCTGCTTTATTCAAAAATCATATTAAGTGCTCTAAGTCATTCAATAAAATATCACATGGAAGAATTATTAAAATCTACTCTTTTCAGCAACCCGTGCCATCCAAATTGGCAAGATCCACATTGAAAGTATCTGTAAGTTCTATGCAATTTGAACTGAACCATGCAGCCTGAATCTAAAGGCATATAAAATATTGTACAATTTTGTATCAACATACCTGCTGGTGAGTCCAAGTTTCCATCTCTAATTAAATCCCTCCATATTTCATGTCCCTCGCTACATGGATTAAATGCAGTTGTGTGGCTAATTAATACACCTGGCTGTTTTAGGAAAATAAGTAATGTTAGTTCTATGGAAACAACCTTTGTCAAAAGAGGAAGGAAGGCAGCAGAAATCAGAATATGATTTGGAATTTTTTGATCTATAAAATAGCTAATGTATCTTACAGTAACTCCTGTGAAGTATTTTGAGACATTGTCCTGAAGTGGAAGGCACTGTATCAAGTGTAAAGATTACGATTATTAATTATGATTATGATTAATATTCCTATTATTGATAGGATACACTGGCCAATCGCCAACCATTTCCCTGGAATACTGGGGGCTTGGATCTTTGTGACTCGGTCCTATGTGACTTCAATCCAAGACTGTTTGTGGGACATTGCTGTGCGTAATTGGTTGCCACATTTCACCCACAAAATATATAGTCCATTCACTTTACAGTGTATTCTATGAAGCACTTTGAGACATCTCAAAGACTTGATATGGCGTAATATCAAATGCAAGAATTATTATTATTTCTCAGATTACTAAGTCCTCCCCACAGAAAGTTGACTGAATTTCACTCTCTTTTTGAGACATGGCATTTTGGAGCCATAATAACCAAATTTGGGCATCAAAAAGGAGCAAAATCAGCTGACAAGACCAAATTCAATTCAATTTTCAAATTTAGCTTTAAATATAATACTCAGTTTTAAAACAAAAATCAGTGCAGTTATTTATATAATAAAATTTTATGAAGCACCTTATCACATCTTGCATTTGATAAAGTACCTTATCACATCTTTGAGACGTCTCAAAGTGCTTCATAGAATACACTGTAAAGTGAATATATTTTATGGGCGAAATGCAACAGCTAATTGCTCACAGCAATATCCCACAAACAACCATATTTTTTAAAAAAAGGGATAATTGCCCCCAGAAAAGCAAACTGCCAATCGAATAACAACCGGGCTTCTACTTACTGCTAGGTAAACAGGTGTGTGGAGTAAGGAAATTTGCCTAACATTTCACCCTGCCCGAATCCAGGTTCTTTCACATGCAATGTAAATGCTCTAACTAATATGCTAGAGGTCTCCACAACGATTGCAATTTATATCAATTACAATGGACAAAGCAGACAGAGGAAACAATTTAGCTGAGAAAAAGAGCCAAATCAGCACAGACAAAAACACAATTCACCAAGAGTTCTTAATTTTATTCTGAAGTGGCTACTTGCATATTGCACGAGTGGTGTAGTTTGACTGGGTTAGTTGTGAGAAAGACCTAATAATTCACTAACATATTACAGCCCCTCCATTTTAAATATACCAAACAATACTTAGACTTCTCCACTGAAGAAACACAGACTTGTGTGTGTGTAGTGCAGAGATGTTTAACTTTCGAATTATTCCTGCCACATGACTTCAGTACTTACATGAATTTGCACTTTTTTTTACAGGACAGGAAAATAGCTAAATTGGGGCTTTTTCCCACTGGAGCAGAGGAGACATGAAACAGATGGTCATGATCATGATACAATAAACAGCAAGACTATGTTTAGTGGCCAAGAAATGGAAGTTAAAAATCCTCCTGCCTGAGGATTGTTTGATTTAAAGGGAGGTTAAGAATTTCTTCACTCAGAGGCTAGTTAGAGTGTGGAATGAATTATCACAAATGGCTATTAAGTCTAGATTAATAGAGTAATTCAAAAGGGAACAGCGAAAGCACCCAACCAGTAAAATTGTATTCATAAGGGATATGAACAAGTTGTAAAATAAGATCAACAACAAGAGACTAAGAAAAACAGGTAACAGCATTGAAGACTTGATGGACCAAAATGGCTCCTGTGCTGAAAATGTCCATTTAGATGAAAACCTACAATCTGTATAATGTATCTGGGCTGAATATAAAGTTGCACTGTAGAAGAGCAACATTGCGTACTTCACTCACCTGTTGTCTTACTGAAATGGCCATTGTATATGGATTTACAGGGGTGCAGTGATGTAATAGCACCCCTGATACGCACTCTCCCTCTTTTACCAAATCATAAGGTTCATTCCAATGTCCCCCTAGCTGGTCATCCTTGGTTCCAGTACCATTCCTCAGAGTAAACATTATTGAAACCTCCAGGTCTTCATCATTTTGGTTGTCAATATCCCACACAAAAACTCCAACTGGCAGACTGGTGTCCTGTAAGGCAAATGTTAAAACTCATTCTAATTTTGTTAGCCTGCTCAGTGAAAACCTAAAACTTATGGTGTTTTCCCTAACTTTCCGTTCTGAGAACAATTTTATTTGATAAATGGGAAGCACAATATTGAAATAGCTTAGCTTTTCTTTGAAAAAAACGTTCTGCTAATTAAAAAGTAACCAATAAACTACAGTACGCTTCAGAATAAAAACTAGAGATGTATTGCGGAAAACATGAGAGGAGCATGTACTCAGCCAAGCATAAAACGCTGAGTAAATACATAAATTTCAATTCACACCCATTGTAATCCACAATGCCCCATTTAACACTTCTTGGTGTGTGAATCCATTTTGGTGAATTTGTTTCAACGCAAATTTGGGAGAAAAACATTCAGGAAAGCCAGCCCTTTTGTGAAAAAAAAGTTGTGTGGAAGAATCATTAACACTGACATCTTAATTGTATCTTTTGTACACAGACAATGCAGTACTGTACTAACCTTATAGTCATGTGGAAGAATTGGACTGATCTGCCTACATGTCAGAGTCACGTTCTGTCCAGGAAGGGTGTAAACTGTCCAGGCACGTGGATACAGGGCATGGTAAAAGGCATACTCTCCACAGTAGCCCCAATTCCAACTCTGAAGCTTGTTAGGCCTCTCAGCGGAAAGTACTTGTTGATACATAGTCTGTCCATTTTTTCTTATGCAGACAGTAAACTGTAAAACACAGGTCAAATGTCACCATCCATCATATTATGTACATCATGTAAACATAGAGTTTAAAATCACTGACAGTGCTACATTATTAAAAAAAAGTGATCTTGAGGTTGTTGCAAAGCAATGGAGCAAAGATCAGCTATTCCCATTTCCAATCTCAGCCTTGCCTTGGGGAAAGAAATGGCTTAAAACCTATCAGACAAGCCACCCTCATTTATCTCCCTGTTGCTACCAATAAAGGTAGAAAAGGGCATTAGTAGGTGAAAACAGCACCAATCACTCGAGTATTAAAGTGCTCTGCTTTCTGGTTTCTTGACCATAGTTGCTCTTCATTGACCCTACCTTCTTCTACACAGCAAATACAGAGGAAGCCTTCTAGCCAACCTCAACATTAAAAAGCAGTTATTATAATAATACTTAACATTGGGTATCACATCTTTCACATCAGGACATCTCAAAGCAATTTACAGGTTATACTGTAAAGTGGAGTGACACTTGTCGGTGACTGCAGCATACCAATACATTTACCGCCATTTAGATGCACAGGTGCCACGCATACTTGAACCTCAGTTGGTTTGAATGCATGCATTACCACTTACAGCTGACCAAAAAATCACCTTATAAAGATCCCACAACACTATTCTAAAAAGGGCACACCTCCCAGGATAGTAGCCAAAAATTGAAATAACATTAATATTAACTGAAAGCAATGTATTCAGTGCATCAAAATGCTAATCCCAATTCATTTAAATAATTGTTGCATTTGATATTACACTTTTATCATGTCATCAAAACACTTCACAATTTATATAAGCCTGACTAAGGTGGTGAAGGTTTACAAAGAATCTACAGCACAGAAACAGGCCACTCGGCCATGCCGGGATTTAAACACAACACAAGTCTTCACCCATTCCTTACTCCCTCCCATTTCTTCTATTCCCCTCTCCCTCATTTGAAGGTCTAGCTTCCTCGGATGTTTGAAGTAAGTTTGCAGTATGTGTATTGGAAGTGCTGTTGAATTAAAGCAACTAAGAATCTTTCTACAGCATTATGTACTTGTGAACTTAGCAGATAGCTGTTCCACTTCTCATCTAAAGCACAGTATCTCAGACATTGCAGTGATCCCCCCTAGCACTGTATTGGATTGTCAGACTAGACTGAGCTCAAATTCCTGAAGTGGGGTTAAACACCAGTCACAAATCAGGTCAACAGAATATGACACTTCAGTATGCAGAAAAACAAGACTGGGTGGGAAAAATGTAAACCAGTTATGCTGCACTGTGTAAAATTGATCCTGCATGAATATTCTGTCTTCCGATTCAGAGGCAAGATTGAGCCAGGCTGAGGTAAACCACCATTTTGCTAACCAGCATTTGAATTGTCACAACAACGTGCACTTACGTAGCACCCTCCATGCAGGGTAATGTCTCAGAGCTCTTAACACTGGCCGCCTGACTCCGAGCCGGGGCGTGGGGGGAGGTGGCTGTAAGCACAGTCGAAGACGAAGGTTTTCAGGCGGGACTTGAAAAAGGGGAGAGGGGGGCAAGGCCGAGGGATTGAAGGAGTGTTCCAGAGTTTCGGGGGGTAGTGGCTGAAACCTCCAATGGTGGGGCAGAGGGTGCGAGCAGGAGGCCGGTGCTAATCAAGCGAAGGTGCGGAGTGGTGGATTGGGGAGTGAGGAGGTCGGACAGGTAGGGAGGTGCCAGAGAGTTAAGGGATTTGAACATGAATGTGAGGATCTTGAAGTTAATATATTTGGAGATGGGGAGCCAGTGGAGTCTGGCCAGAACTGATGAAATATGGGTACGGAGTTTGGTCCAGGTAAATATGTGGGTGGCAGGTTTCTGAATCAGCTGGAACGTTTGAATAGTGGAGCTGGGGAGATTGTCGAGGAGTGCGTTTGAGTAATCCAGGCGGGAGGTGACAAATGCATTAACGAGAATTTTGGCTTCATTTGAGGTAAGGTACAGTCGGAGGTGGGCAATGTGGCGGAGGTGGAAGAAGGCAGTCCTGGTCAGGGACTGGATATGGTGGAGGAAGGAGGGCTGGGGGTCGAACCGGATTCCTAGATTGTACACTGGTTCAGTGAGTGTGAGGGAGAGCCCAGGGAGGTTGAAGAGTTCAGATCCGCAGGAGTGAAAACGTTGTGAAAACGAGCCAAGTATGGCTCCCATCTTGTCCATATTCAGCTGCAGGAAGTTTCACTCATCCAGGCTCTGATGTCTGCCAGATTATGCAGGCTTCCAGAGGCAGCTTCAGAAAAAGGAGCAACTATCTCAGAGGTCAGATTAGTATAGAGTGAAAAGGCTCAAACAGCAAAAGTTAACTCAGATTTAAGTGGATTAGTAATGAGCTACACTGATCTCTGGGTCACTGAATTTTTACAAACCAAAACACACAATGTAATAATCCCCTGCAGGTCCGCAGTAGAACAATCACTGTCACAAGTTACCAGATTCATTATCATAAACTGTTCATTACCAGTCTCACAAAACTACCTCCAAACCAAAGCAATATTCTAGTCTCAAAAACGACATTTATAGAGCACCTTTCACATCGGGAGGACGTCCCAAGGCGCTGGACAGTCAGGGGTCAGGACCTGAGCATGGGGGAGGGGTGGGGTAGGGGTGAGGGAAGACAAATAGAGGTGGGAGGACGACCGAAGAGGAGGGTCTTGAGACCGGCCTTGAAGGAGGCAAGGGAGGAAGCGAGGCAAAGTCCTGGAGTTGCAGGTGGAGGCAGAGAGATAGAGTTGGGTGTCATGCGCATACATGTAGAAATTTACCACATGTCTGCGGATAATGTCACCAAGGGGGAGCAAGTAGAGGGTGAAGAGGAGGGGACCGAGGACAGAGCCTGAGGAACGCCGCATGAGCCGGTGCAGGGGCTGGAGGAGAAGCCATTGGCTGAGACAAAGTGAAGATGATGTGAAAGGTAGGACCTGAACCAACCAGTCAAGGACAGAACCTTGGAGGTTGAGGTGAGAGGAGAGGAGGTGGAGGAGGATTGAATGATCCACAGTGTCAAAAGCGGCGGAGAGGTCAAGGAGGACGAGGAGGCAGAGGAGCCCTGGTCACACATGGTCAGGATGTCATTAGTGACCTTGACCAGAGCAGTTTCCGTGCTGCCCGATTGGAGGGGCTCATGGGGGGAGTCGGAGGAGAGGAAAGAGCGAAGCTGGGAGGCAATGGCTCTCTCAAGGACCTTGGACAGAAAAGGGAGGTTCGAGATGGGCCGGTAGCTGAATAGCTGTGTTGGGTCAGGGAAGATTTCTTCAAGGTGGGGGTGATAGTGGCTGTTTTGAGGGGGTTAGGAACAGTGCCAGGTGATAGAGAAAGGTTGATGATGTCGGCAAGTAGTGGGGCAAGGAGGTGAAGCTGGGATTTAAGGAGAGGGGTGGGGATGGGATCCAGGGAGCAGGTGGTGGGCTTCATGGAGGATATAATAATAATAATAATCCTTGCATTTGATATAGCGCTTTTCACGTTGGGAGAACGTCCCAAAGCGCTTCACAGAACACACTGTAAAGTGAAATGGTGGTGATGATAGAGGGGGTGACAGGTTCAAAGGTGTGAAAGGAGGGATGGGTAGTGGTCGGAGTGTGGGGGGGGGTGGAAGTCGGGAGAGTAGTGGCAGCTGAGCGGATTTCCTCGATTGGCTCAAGAGCACAGTACAACCATCAAAGTCATTGGGAACAAGAAAATTTTGCTCTTTCAAACCTATTTTCCACATTATTGAATTTTGTTCTGAGAATGCCAATCTATATGGCTCTGCTATTCATTGTATAAACTGCATGAAACAGCATTTGATTGTTGTCTCCCAGCTGAATTAATTAGTGATATTCCCAGCAATTTGGCAGATAATCTGAGGGAACAACAATTGGACAATTTGAGGAATGCCAAATTTTAAACAGCTATCAGACAGATTTAGACAGACAAAATAGCTCCCTTCAAATACCTCAAATATTTTGTTCAAGCCAGATGTTGCAGCCAGGATGTCTCAAGGGCCCTCATGGTGGAATCGCTCTTTGGGGGCACTAAGTATTTTAACCCTGTCAGATTTTAACCCTGTCAGATTTTAACCCTGCACTCGTACCTTCAGAGCAGTTCGCAAATTGTACGGAATCACTCAGGATCGCTTGGGAAAGAGGATTTGGGTTAACAGCCACAGATTGAGAGCATACTGATTTGATACCTCTCCATCGCATGCAAGAGGGTCAGCTCAAACGGATGGAGAATATACCTTATGTCAAAAAGATCCTCCCAACTTTTAAAAGGGACTGCAACAAAACTTTCATTTTTATAGCCTTTATGCATTGAAACATCTCAAAGCATTTTACAATAATTCTGCAGTAATTTTTTTGTAGACAAACCACCACCACCAAACAACTTGCATTTATATAGCTCCCTTCATGCCAGACGGCATCTCAGAGTGCTTACTTTGCACAACAGAGCAGATACTTTGCACAACACAACAACAACTTGCATTTTCATAGCACCCTCCAGGGTAGCATCTTAGAGCGCTTAACAAAGAAAGGTTCCACAAGCCATGAAGTGAAGAATGATTAATCTGGATGATTATTGAACACGTATTAGAAGAAATTCTGTTGCTTTAGTCCCACCCTTCACTTTGAATAGGACCATGGAATCTTTAATGTCCACCTTAAAAGGGAGGTTCAAAAAGGAGCTGGTACTTGGAAGTAAGGGTATTAAGTGATATGGTTAAAAAGCAGAGAAAGGGATTGAAAGATCTGCTATGATCCAATAAACTGATGTCCAACAACAACAACAAAATTAAATTTATAGAGTGCCTTTAACGTAAGGAGGACGTCCCAAAGCGCTGAACAGTCAGATGCTGGGGCCCGAGCATGGGGGAGGTGGTGGAGGGGTGAGGGAAGGCAAAGAGGTGGGAGGGAGACCAAAGGCACGGTCAAAGAGAACGGCCTTGAGACCAGTCTTGAAGGATGTAAGGGAGGAAGCGAGATAAGATGAATGAGATCCAGTTCCTAAACTCAGAAATACATCCTGCCTACTTGCATGCACACATAGCTTAGACTAGTGAAAAGGCAGCAGAGACAGAGCAAAAATAAAAGGGGCAGGCAATAACGCCAATGGGAAATAATAATAATCCTTGCATTTGATAGAAAGCTTTTCACGTTTTCTGTCTCAAAGCGCTTCACAAAATATGCTGTAAAGTGAATTGACCGTACATTTGTGGGGGAATGCATTGAAACCAATACTGAAATGGTGTTTCAATTGTACAAATTTACATTTGTTACATCGGCCACTAATTCCTGATACTCAGTAGTTACGGTACACAAAAAAAATCCCATCTACAGGCTCAGTATTATAAAATTTACCAGCTAATGGTGACCCTTTAAACTTCACTCATGATCTTAATTGAATAGAGTAAAAGGAAACCTACCTGGTTCTCATACACCGTGTTATATGTGTACATTCCCGGACTCAGCTGCCATCTGCAGAATTCTCCTCGCCACCCTCTTGTAATGGTGCCTCCTCCAAATCCACCTAGTGGAGCTCCTGTGAGAGACAGAGTCAAGGTCTGGTTATTTCTGCACAACACCTCCTCGCAAATATACTATTGCTCTAAATGCAGTTTAAATACATTACACTGTGTATTACATCTAGAATTGTCATTTATTTTATTACAGGAGGGAAAGTTTAGATTTTTATTTTCTCAAAATTTAATCAGACCATTCACAAACTGCTTCCAAACATATGTCGTTGACGATACGAGAATCTAAGTTGCACAGTATAAATGTACTGGAATCAGAATAGAAAGCCTTCGGGCAGATTTAATAGAACAGACCTGAACTAAAATCTTTTATCAATCAGTTGGAAAGAAAGCCTTAAACCAGTTTGCACTTACCATAAATCTGTCTCAATGGAATAGAATTAAAGGAGTCGATAAAAGGTGCCTTCTTCTCTATTCGTGTTTTTCTGTACCACCATTTTAAATACCTGTACAAAAAAACAGAATTAAAACTAAAAAAGGGTCTTATTTAAAATGGAATTCATTTATTACTTCCTATTAGAGGCAACCACTCAATCATCCTCCCTTTTCTTCCCTCCTACACATAACAGAGGTCAAATGATTTATCACCAAAGCCAATTGTTTGATTGGCAAGCTGTAGTGCAAACCGGCCTGCAATTGTATGCCCCAAACAGATACATCCTGGTTTTAAGTGTCATTCCTACCAATTAGTCAGATATATAAAAAAATCAGACCACCAAGATTGAAAGGAGAAATAAATTGGCAACACAAATCAAAGAATCAACCTGCAGATTAAGAGGACAAGGATGAGGGAAGTAAGGATGTCTAGTCTTGAGGTTGGGAAAACGGGGAGGGTTGGAGCAGAAGATAACGTTTCAACACAAAGAGGAGAGCATGCAGTCCCAGATATAGAAGCAGTTTTCAAGTCTTTTATAGTGTCTTTGTAGATTTCAGAGCTGTGAAGTAAAATTTGGTATTACAGCAAAAAAATAGCTTATTGTAGGCAGTTGCAGCAAGGAAGGATTTTATTGAGATAAGAAGAATGCCAAGAATACCAATAGATAAGGGACTAAGAACGGAGCCACAAGGTCTGGTCCAGTACAATCCTATGAAAATCGAGAATAGAATCTTCAGTAAGAGAGGAGGTCACAGGGAATGGGGAGAGAGAAAAAAAACTGGAAAATGGAACTGAATGGATTGCTTTCAAAGATAGCACAGGCACAATAGGCCAAATGGCCTTCTGTGCTGTAATGTTCAATACTGTAGTTCTGAGTTTCACGTCTCCTGGCTGCACACAATAGAATGTTATCAGCACAACTTCATTATTCAGTTGTAAACCTGATTGAAGATACAGTAGTCAGCAGATGGCAAGAGCATGCATCGGTTTCTGAAAATTCAGGTCCAGCCTTTAAAATGGAACAATCAATACAATATTCAGTCAAGCCCCTTTTTTTGAGAATGTCACTAAACTTGGTGAAGGAAAGGTTGAAAGCTGGAGTATGATGTTACCAATGTATGTAGCAAATTTACACTGATAACAGCAAATCACTGAATTCAAGGAGGAAATAACTGACTCAGGCATAATCATTTTCAGTGCATTCAACAACAAATTACATTTGCCTGTAACATCAGGAGGACGTCCCAAAGCGCTGGATAGTCAAGAGATCCGCACCCAAGCTGGTGGTTGGGATCAGGAGGGGTGGACAGTAGGGGTAGGAGGGTGACTGAAGGCACGGTCGAAGAGGAGGGTCTTGAGAATGGTCTTGAAGCAGGCAAGGGATGGGGCGAGGCGGAGGGACTGTGGGTTGGGAGTTCCAGAGGGTAGGGGCAGAGGAGCTGAAGGCCTGCCTGCCAATGGTGGGGCAGCCAAGGCAGGGGACGTGAAGCAGGCCGGAGCTCACCAACAACAACAACAACAACAAGATTCCATTTATAGAGCGCCTTTCACGTCAGGAGGACGTCACCGAACGGAGGGAGTGGCTAGATTGGTAGGGTGTTAGGAGGAGCAAGGCCACTCCCCCAGTCTGGGCTCAAAGTCAAACATATAAAGTGTTTTGGACTTCCTCTAGACGTGGAAAGCACAATATGAATGTAATCTGTTGTGTAATATATTGGCTGCTCTGATTGATTAGTTGCTTAGCTCACTGGAGCTATAGCTCAGTGGTTAAAACACTTACCTCGCAAGCGAGAGACATTGCTTGGATTTGCAGGGCAAAATGTTGGGCAAGTTTCCTTACTCCACATGTCTGTTTACCTAGCAGTAAGTAAGAACCTGGCTGATAGTCAATTGGTGGATTGCTTTTCCAGGGATAATAATTCCATCAAAAAATAATAATAAATTGGTCACTTCAATCCAAGACTGTTTGTGGGACACTGCTGTGCACAATTGGCTGCCGCAATTCACCCACAAAATATACAGTCAATTCACTTTACAGTATATTCTGTGAAGCGCTTTGAGACTTCTCGAAGACGTGATAAGGCGCTATATCAAATGCAAGGATTATTATTATTATATTGCCTGGAATAAAATCAACTTAAAAGTCCCCAGTGCCTAATTAGTCAGAGGCAGCAGGAGCACAAGTGGTTTAAAATAACAATAACCCTTGCATTTGATAGCATCCTTTCACATCAGATCAACTCAGAGCACTTCACGGATTGTAATGTGTTGTGACTGTATTTTGTCAGCAAAAGCAGCTACCAATTTGGACTCATCGATGTCTCCAAAACAGGTATGAAATTAATGACTAATTTTATATGGGAGATTATTGGCCAGGTTGACCCCAGACACTTAAGAGAAATAATAACCAGGGACAATCCTGCAAACTATCCAATGAACTATCGTACAGAAGCGAATTTCTCCCTGTATCAGGCTAACAATTCCCCCAGATGTCAGTCTGTTGATAGCACTCTCACCACCAAGTCAGGCACAAGCTCCACAACAGGACTTGGAGCTGATATTCCAATGCAGTGCTGGAGATCCGAAAGTCTGATTGTCCAGCGCTTTGGGACGTCCTCACAACGTGAAAGGTGCTATACAAATGTAATTTTGTTTTTGTTGAGGTGCGCTGCATTGTCCTAGCTGCTTTCCTTTAGATACGTTAACCGAATCCCTGTCTGCCAGTTCAGTCACAAGATGCTGTGGCACTATTCAAAAAGAGAAGGCAGTCTCTAAGTGTCATGTCTAACATCCCCCAAATAAAATTGGTCATTTGTTTCATGGGACACGGCAGTGCACAAATTGTCTGCTTTGTTTACGCACGAAAAATACAGTCACTACATCTTAATTACAGTATATCCTTTGAAGCACTTTGAGACATCCTCCTGCCATGACAAGGTATTATATCAAATGTAAGGATGATTGGTGTATACTGTAACAGGTCATCCACTTCGTGGCCGATTGTGGAACAGTGCACATTCCACCTACAGTCACTACAGTGAACAGTAGCAAATCGTGGGAAGTGCTGCATGAAGTTCAAGTAGCGTGATCAGGCACAACATCAAAATGAACTGAACATTAGTATTATTTGTCTTCAAATGCATCACACCTGTCTGCAATCTGCTGTAGTTTAACCTGCTGGGTGCCTTCTGCATTTTAGTTTGCAACTCGGTGCCTGGGGTGGGGGGAAAGAGTGAGTTGCTGGAGACGAGGGATCATGTTTGCACAGCTGATCATTGGAAGAAATCTGGCTGCAAAGAGCCGACATGGTGCAGACTGCAGCGGAGGGAGGGAGGGAGAGAGACTGAGCGGCTCTGCAAAAGAAAGTGACACCTCTTTTCCCTAAAGCATAGGGCGAATGCAAAGCTGAGGAGGAGCGAGGCGACAGAGAGAGAGAATGAGAGAGAGAGAGAATGAGAGAGAGAGAGATAGAGAGTGAGAGAGAGAGATACAGAGAATGAGAGAGATAGAGAATGAGAGAGAGAGATAGAGAATGAGAGAGAGATAGAGAATGAGAGATACAGAGAATGAGAGATACAGAGAATGAGAGATACAGAGAATGAGAGAGGGAGATAGAGAATGAGAGAGAGATAGAGAATGAGAGAGAGATAGAGAATGAGAGAGATAGAGAATGAGAGAGAGAGATAGAGAATGGGAGATACAGAGAGTGAGAGAGGGAGATAGAGAATGATAGAGAGAGATGAGAGAGAGAGAGCTTTCAGTCAGGCACCTTATTCCCAGGCCCAAGTGGTCGATCATATGCGACAGAGACACGTCTCTCGCCTCGAAAGGTTTCCTCTTCTCGGTGAACAGGTGCCCCAGACAGATCCTCCAGCCGTACTCCGGCACTCCCTCCCCCGCGGACACCCCGGAATATTTTTCCATGAGCCCGGCGTGCGGGGCTTTCCGCTCCCCCATTTCCCCTTTGACTGACTGACTAACGTGAGTGAGTGAGCGCAACCCTCCCGTGCGCTGCCGCCCCGACGCCGTCCAGGAGGCTCTGAAAGCCCCGCTCGAGCGCTCGCCCGTTTCTTTTCAAACGCTTCTGCGCCTGCAGCCGCGCGAGCGCATTGCCCCCGGGGTGCGCACGCGCGAGGGGAGGGGAGGGTAGGGGGGGGGAGTGGTGATGTGGGTGGAAAGCGCCTGCGCAGACGGCCCCGCGCGCAGTATCGTAGGTGTAACGGAGAGACGTGGAGGCGAATGTGTAGCGCACGCGCAGTGCCTGAACGCTGCAGGGCGGGCGGGTGAGTGAGTGAGTGGGGGGGGGGGCGGTGAGGGTAGGGATAGGCCGCATGCGCAATGGACATCAGCGGCTGAACGCCACAAATTGCGCATGCGCTCGGCCACCACGTGGTTTCCAACAGGGCAGGGACATGATTGACCGTCAGTCGTGTAAGCAATGGCAAAATGATAAAAAAAGTCTTTGCGTTGACTTCTTGCACCGGTAAAGACACACGTATCCGGCTGCGCTGGAGCAGGAGCCGGGTAGCGAACTGATAACTGGAGTGTCAGCCTAGAGCGTCAGTCCCGAGTCGCGACGCGAGGCTTAAACCCACGGTCGTCTGATTCAACTTCAACAACAACGTACATTTATATGGCGCCCTTCACCCTGGCCCGGGTCCCACACCGCTTGAAAGAGCTACCAACTGAGCCAGGCTGAAACCTTGTATTTGTGAACACAAACGTGGCGTGGATCGTAGAATTACACAGCACAGAAGTGACTGAGAGTCCACGTGTGGAGACACCTGTGTCCGGAATGGAAATGCTCACTCTCCCTGGAGGGACGCACCCTGCTTACTTAATTCTGGAGACGATTAGACACAGGCTGGCAAGAGCAAGCGGTGGGGCACTGCTGGATTTTAACAGGATTGACACCACATCGATTGCCATTGAAAGCACTGTCTCGAAAACCAGCTTGGTTTGTCCAACTTGGGAAGGGTGGTCCTTCTCTGGACAAACCATTTAGGACTTTGGCTTGTAGGGTTAATAAGAGATAAGTGGGAAAAATCCCCTGCCCCCCAGTGGGTGGTGTATGTATGGTGTTGTAATGGATACAGGGCTTGAGATTGTTTGTAGCGTTCAAACAAAATTAGCAATAGTATGCATATCTATTGTACAAGAATATTTATTGTACAAACATTGCAAACAATTGAAGCTTTTCAAACAAATGAAAAGATCTTCTGATGGCTCAGTTAGCAAAGCCACTACCCAGTGTATAACTGAGTCATACAGATCAAGAAGGTCCCAGGACTGATTCCTGTCTCAACTGAGACAACAGTGTTAGCTGGGAGACAGACATACAGCGTTAGTTATCTTGGCTCAGTTGGTAGAACTCTCGCTTGAGTCAGAAGCTGTGGGTTCAAGCCCCACATCAGGACTTTGAGCTCACCCCCCGCCTCAACTAGTTAAATGCCCTCCTCAACGGTCTCCCCAGCTCCACAATGCACAAAATCCACCTGATCCAAAACTCCGTCACCCGCATACTCACCCATTTTAAACTACGTACCTCCATCACACCAGTGCTAGTCAGGCTCCATTGGCTCCCTATCGCCGAATGGATGAATTTCAAGATCTTCACAATTGTTTTCAAATCCCTTCACGCCCTGACACCTCCCTACCTCTCCGACCTGCTTACTCCCCAACCTACTACCCACTGCTTCCACTCGACTGGCTCCAGACTTCTGCATGTCCCTCATGTCCTCCATTCCACCATCAGTGGCCGTTGGGCTTGCAGCCACTACGTCCCGAAACTCCGGAGCACTTCCTCTGTCCCTTCGCCTTGTCCCTACCTTCCCCATCTTTAGATCGCGCCTTCATGGTTCCTCTTCTGTAAATAGTTGAAATTATAAAATAAGAATCATTAGTATTGATCATGTGGTGAATAGATGAATTAAGTAGAATGAATCAAAAAATAAAAACTGCCATGAGGCACCAACACACACTGGAATATGACCTATGAGCAGGAGAGATAGGAACCTGGGATAATAGGACCAGGAGAATGGATGGGAGGCCATCTGTGTGAGCAGGTATACAAAATCAGCAATTAAAAAATGAGAGAAAGCTTAAAGTCAGTAGGTGACATGGACAGAGTCAGAAAGAAGGACAATGAATTACTGAAACTTCAGGGATCTGGAGTCAGGCGGTCTGGTCGGGCTGGATAAGATGGAATATGAGGAGTATTGTTCTTTTGCAGAAGATACCATTAGCTGGTACAAAGAGAAACAACTTGAAGATAGGGAAAGAATGCCTGGGAAAAGTCCAAGGATAGGGAAAGAAGTCATGAGAAGAGAGGAGTTAGAACATAGATGGCTGGCGAAAAAAGAGTAGTTACGAGCCTTTGAGGAGAGGAAGGGGATGAACCTTTATGGAGTAGACTGCAAAGAGATAAGTCCAGCTCTCGCCGGAGCGGACCCCAAAGAGACAACATACCAAGACGATCCAGAGATGTTTGTAGCCAGAAGCAAGCCAGAGACGGTGGTTACCTCCTGTGCCAGCCTGAGAACCTCGTCACCTCGAACCTTTCTGCCTGCTCGGTAGTATCTCTCCTACTTACTAAAACACGGACCCAACATACATACAAAACAGTTAGATATGATTTAGGCACATCTCATATATCACATAGTGTTTTTCCTTTATGTTTAGAATTTTAGTATTGAGTGTATCTCGTTAAGATAGTGCTTTAGTAATCATTTAAGCACATTTAAGTGATATCATTTAAGTATATCATTTAAGTAACGATAATGCGTCGGGTGTAATGCTTATGCTATGTTTGTTTTATAATTGCTAATAAAAAGTTTTAATGATATCCTTGTTGTGGTTTCTGACAAATGCTTGAACTCAATTTCACACTTCGACCTTGCCAGCGGTCACCTTCCCCCGCTCGGCTCCGTGCTCTGCCATCGTCAAGCGCTCTGGGACGCTATATAAATGCAAGTTGTTATTGTTGTTATTGGCACTAATCCTTCAATTTTACCTCTGATTTGTTATCCAAGTGACACTCCTTATTTGAAGGTGGTAGCTCCTGTTTTGGAATTCATGTTTGCTACCAGCTGGAGGCGAAATAAACATGATTAGCAAATAAATGCAGGAAGAGAGCTTGAAGGGGCAATACACAAGAATGAGCATTCAGCAGTATCAAGCATGTTGAGACATCCTCCTGACATCAAAGACACTATAGGAATGTAAATTGCATTGTATATAACACGCATCTCCACTGGAAACCATAGGGTGGTTTTCCAACCACATCATCTGCATCACCTGTATTACATTAAAACAACATTCCTTCACTCAGGATTTGGCTGCAGAACAACTAAAATGTGTTTGTTCAACTGACTGTTTTGTCCACACGAGGTGTGTTTTATGCAATTTTTTTTCATTTGAATGTTGACAACACTTCTCACCCACCTGAGGAGCTGACAGCATCAACCTTCCGGGTTGCAAACTCCACCCTGTGGAGCCATTGCGGGATCTCGGTGTTTTGTTCTGTTTCGATTTGTGGTTCAGAACCCACATCCATACTCTCACTCGGCTCAGCTTTTCCTCACCTTATTGTACGCTCTGTCATTACCTTTCACTCCTCTCCTCCCCCACCGGCTGCCGCGACAGTTGGCCACATCTTTTTCATGTCCTTGCACCTCCTTCATGCCCTTGCACTTCCCTACCTTTCCAACTTGTTCAACCCCCACTCCACCATCCCCTGCTTCCGCTCAACCGGCTCCAGCTTCCTGTTCATCACTCGCCCCCTCAGCTCCACCATCGGCGGCCGTGCTTTCAGTCACTACACCCTAAAGCTCTGGAACTCTCTCCCCCAATTCCTCTGCTTTCGCCCTTCTCGCTCCACTTTCAAATCCCATATAAATACCTTTCTTTTTGATCGTGCTCACAGTCACCTCCCCCGTCCCTCTCCCCCTAGGTCAAGGTCAGACTTCGCCACTGTTAAGCACTCCAGGACCCTATCCCACATGAAGGGCGCTATATAAATGCAAGTTGTTGTTATGTTCAGGCTAAATTAGCCAACTTCCCTACACAGGTGGCAAACTATCCTCTCCCATATCAGGCTCCTTGAGCCTATCACCCCCATCGTTGCTTGGCTCCACTGGTTCCCTATCCCTCAGTGCATCAAGTTCAAGATCCTTGCCCTCACATTTAAATTCCTCCAAGGAGGGTGAAGATCATGGGTTGCGATTGCAACAGTTCAGTGCTTTGAGACATCCTCCTGACTATATAATTGTAACTTGTATTGTTTAATATAATAATTTAAGTATCTGAGGTTCGGTTAAGTAGAAAAATAATACTGGCATTTGATAATGCGCCTTATTGCACCTTCAAAACACTTCACAGGATTTACTGTGGAGGAAGGGTCTCCAACCGGGCAATCGCCACTGGGTGGTGCTGTTACACATGATCAAAAAGATAAGAGGAAGGAGCCATAGAACTGTATGCTTATTTTGTCCAGTTGTAAATGAAACCTGAGGCCCAAAGTATTTCATGCATCTGGAAATAAAAATGCAAACTTTAATGTTAAAACTGCGGCAAATATTGCTCCTTTATCTTGTTTTGTTGAGCATGTGCGAGATGCCCCCGAGCAGTGATAGACTGGTTGGAGACCCCTGCTCTAGAATGTAGTGACTGTGCATTGAGTTGGCAAATGCAGCAGCCAATTTGCAGATAGCAATGACCCACAAACCGCCGTTAAGTGATTGAGTTATAGAGAATATCGTGATTTCAATTCCAGGGAGTGGCGGGGGGGGTGGGGAAGGAGGGCGAAGATCAAGTTCCAGAATGGGGTGGAGGAGATTGTGATTTGAGATGAAGGAGGTGGGTGGGAAGGATCAGAGCTTGAGTTACGTGGGGGACAAATGATCACAATCTCATTGCTGGGGAGGGAAGAGAATCTCCGGGGGAATCCTAGTTTGAATTTGGTGGAGGGAACTTTTGATAGACCTTGTGTAAGATGGGTTTTCCAATTATAAACGCACTTCATCAAAAGTCCCGTAGCGTAGTTGTCAGAGCATTCACCTTGCAAGCAAGGGGACCCAGATTCAATTCTCGGGCGGAGCAAGTTT